TTATTTATTTCTATTAATATTTGCTTTATGTACTTAGGTGTTCCCATGTTGGGTGCTTATATATTTATCATTTATATATCCTTTTATTGATTAGTTCCCTTTATCACTTTATCATTATGTCTTTCTTTGTCCTTTGTTGCAGTCTTTGAAGTTTATTTTGTCTGATATATGTAATGCTACCCCAGGTTGGTTTTTGTTTGTTTGCTTCCATTTGGATGTAAACATTTTTACATCTCTCACTTTCAGTCTTTTCAGTCTACATGCTTTATGTCTGAAATGAATCTCTTGTGGTTAGTGTATAGAAGAATCTTGCTTTTAAAACTTTTTTTACCATTCAGTTATTCTGCATCTTTGGAGGTTTTACATTCAAAGTACATTCAAAGTAATTATGGATAAGTAATTATGGATAAGTAAGTGCTTATTGCCATTTACTTCAAAGTAATCATGGATAAGTAAGTGCTTATTGCTATTTTGTTACCTGTATTATGATTATTTTTATAGTTCTTTGTTCACTTCTCTTGGTCTTCTCTCTTATGCTTTGCTGGCTTGCATAGTGATATGCTTTGATTTCTTTTTCTTTATTTTTTGTGTATCTATTGCAGGTTTTTGATTTGTGGTTACCATTAGGTTCATATATAACATTTTATGCCTATAGTACTCTATATTAAGTTGATGGTCCCTTGAGTATGAACCCATTTAATAGCATTAAACTTTTACTCTTTGCTCACTGATGTTTCATGTATATGTTAACATAGTTTACATTCTTTTATATTATGAATCCCTTGACTGATTTTTGTAGATATAATTGATTTTAGTGCTTCTTCTGTGCTTTAATCCTTGTACTGGCTTTGTAAGTGATTAATCTACTACTTTTATTATGTTTGTATTTACATGTGAGATTTTTTTTCTTTTATCATTTTACTTCTGATTCTGGCCTTTTCTTTCTACTCATGGTATTCCCTTTAATGTTTCTTGTAAGTGTGGTTAGTATTAATGAACTCCTTTAATTTCTGTGTTCCTGGAAAACTTTCTCTCTCCTTTTATTCTGAATGATATCTTTACTGGATAAAGCATTTTGTTTGCAGGTTTTGTTGTTATTGTTTTTCAACAACAACAATAGTACTTTTCAGTACTTTGAAAGTATTTTATGCCACTCTCTTCTGGCCTCTAATTTTCTGCTGAAAAATCTGTTAGCCATATAGGATTTCCCTTCTATGTAACTGGTTTCTTCTCTCTTACTGCTTTTAAAATCTCTGTTCATTACTATTTTTGTGCCATTTTAATTATCGTGTGTCTTGATATGGATCTCCTTGGGTGGTTTTTGTTTGACATTTTCTGGGCTTCATGGAACTGGATGTCTGTTTCCTTCTTCTGTGTTATAGAAGTTTAATCCTTTATTTCTTTAAACAAATGTTCTCTTCTACTTCTGGGATGCCTGTAATGAGAATGTTATTACACTGGATGATTTTACTGAGTTTCCTTAACCTAGTCTCATTTTTTATCTTTTTTCTTCTTTTTGCTCTGTAGCTTTTTTTTTTTTTTTTTCTCAGTACTCTCTCACAACTCACTGATTTGTTTTTCTTTCTCTCCCTCCTTGTTTGACTTTCTGTAGTGTGTTTTTAATTTTAGTTATAGAGTTTTCTTCTCTGGCTCTTATATTTTCTATTTGTCAAATGTCTTAACATTCTCCACTCTTTTTTCAAGTCCAGTGAGTATCTTTATGACCATAACTTTGAATTTTTTAATAGGTATATCCTTCTCTCCATTTCATTTAGTTCTTTTGCTGTGGTTCTGTCTTGTTCTTTCATTTTTGGTATATTCCTTTCTCATTTCCTTTCTTTGTGTTAGTTTCTATGTGTTAGGAAATCAGCTGTGTCTCCTGATTGAAAAATATGGCCTTATGAGTAACAGCCTGTGGTACCCTGTAGTGCATTGTCCCCTGTTCATCAGAACCAGGCACATCAGAGCTGTCTCCTGAGTGGGTTTTGTGCATTCCATTATTGTAGCTAAGCCTCATTTGTTTTCAATCCAGTTTGCTGCAGTGGCCCATCTTGCCTCTTGTGGGTTGGGTTGGTCCTGTGCTGTTAACCACTAGTCTGGGGATGTTGTGGGCTTGTAATTGTGCAAGGTGAGCAGTCAGACCAGATACTTGTCTTTAGACCATTTGTCTGGGCTGGAGTCTCACCAACTATAGCCAGCAATCCTTGCCTTGTACACTGAGAGGCTTTTGTTGGTAGGTGTGGCCTGTAATTAGTTCATATGTTTGCCCAGACCTTGTGCTGGGGCTGCAGATGCATTGACCAGCAGAGTACTCCCCCTGCACTGCCAGTTTGGCTGCTGGGACTGTGAAGGTCCTGGGGTGTGTGGTCATTTTCTCTTTCATTTTCTCTTCTCTGTGGGGCAGGAGTCACTTTGCAGTGGTGCTAGTCCTTGCTGGGTCTGCCTTCAGGATAGAAAGTGGAAGGAGCCGCTTTGGGGGGACTCCTGCTAGGTGGGGCAGGTTGGATCTGGAGGAGAATCTTCTGCATAAGAAGGGGGAGGGGGCGTGTGGTGTTTGAAAGTTAGGTGGAAGATGTTTATGCTTTTTCATGCAGATATCCCACTATTTCGATTGGAGGTGGGGAAGAAATGGTGCCCACCAGCAATTTTGTTCTTGAAGTCTCCTAAAGATCCCTGCCCCTCCAGCATACATTGAGGAATTAGTAATCTTTGCAAAGTGCTACTTCTGTACTGTATCTTGGTGGGACCTCAGTTTTCCTATCATCCTTTGGCTCTCCCAGGGCTGAATCTGCTAAATTTTACCCAGATTTAAGCTCCACTGATTGTAAAAATTCATGATAAGCCCTACTGTTTTTCAAAGTCAAATGTAATGGGACTTGTTTTCCCAGTGTAGTTGCCATATATGTGGTGCCTGGTGTGAGGTGTGTTTGTTCCTTTCCCTTCTCCATGCTTGTGGTATCTCTCCTGTTTGTGGTTAGTCTCACTGAGATTTTGGTTCTAGACTGCATCTCCACCCTTCCTGCCCTTTCCCATGTGTCCTCCTCTCTACAGTTAACCATTGAAGGTCTGTTCTGCCAGTCTTTGGGTAGTTTCTTGTGTTCAGCGCACCTATGTGGCTGTTAGGTAGGTGTGTCTTTGGGACATGATGAGTTTAGAATCCTCCTACTCCACCATCTTCCAAGGATCACAAGATTTTTTTCCTTCAACACTTTAAACATACTGTGCCATTCCCTCCTGGCCTACAAAGTATCCATTAAAAAATATACTGATAGTCTTTTGGTATTCCTTTAATTTTTTTTTTTTTATTGACGTGTAGTTGACATAGAATGTTACACTAGTTTCAGGTGTACATCATAGTGATGTGACAACTCTTTACATAATGCTATGCTCACAACAAGTGTAGCTATCAGTCATGTCACCTTTCAATATTATTAAAATACCATTGACTACATTCCATATGCTGTTGCTTTCATCATCTTGTTATTCATTATAAAACTGAAAAAAAAAGTTTAGGGTTCTCTTTTATGTAAAAATTGTTTTTCTTTTGCTGCTTTTAATATCTTTTTGTCTTAACTTTTGACATTTTAATTATGCTGTATCTTAGTGTGGGTTGCTTTGTATTCATCTTTTTTGAAACTCTCTGGGCATCTTGAATCTGGATGCTGTTTCTTTCCCTAGGTTAGGGATGTTTTTAGTCATTATTTATTAAGACAAGATTTTAACCTTTCTTCTTCTGGGACCCTTATGAGTGTTAGTCCACATGATGTTACCCTATAAGCCCCTTAAGATATTTTACCTTTTTTCCATTCTTTATTTTTTTAACTGCTCTGAATAGATGAATTCCACTGCTTTATCTTAGAGCTGACAGATCCTTTTCTCCATTTCATGCAATCTGCTGTTGAACCCCTCTAGTGTACTTTTCAGTGAGGTTATTGTATTCTTTAGTTGTGACTTTTAATATTTTCTAATATTTCAAATCATTCTGAACACCTAAAGAAATTGAGCTGAGGACTGATAACAAACTACAACCAAAAGGAAAAAAGAGGCCACATCTTGGAAGGTGGTTGGTGTAGAGACATGATTTGGAGAACAAAAGAATCACAGGTGCTATGTAGGGATGGGAGCCCTGATCACAGAGAAGAGAATGAGAGCAGGACTCAGGGGATGGCACAAGAAAAACACTTCTCTAAAACCACTGCCTGGGTAAATGAGAGGGGCTGGTTATCACGAGATTTTACAAGCAGTAGAGCTCAAAGACTGAGGTTTAGAAATCTATGCCATTGCTGGGGTAGAGCCTGGCAGGCATACAGGTGCTCCTGTGAAGGAGGGCATAGGCATAAGAGTGGACATTGTGGTCTGAAGATCCCCTGGGTCACATTGGGAGAGTTAGTTCCCTTTCTTGGAGTGCATTTGAGAGGTCCATGGCTTCTCTGGGGACACAAGGGCCAGTGAGTGCCATTGAGCTCTCCCATTCATTAGCATAGGAGTAGAGACACCTGCTGAGGGCAGCTAATCTGGATGTGGCTTTTTGATGCACTTTACCATAAACTCCAGGCCCCCGTGTGTGTTCATGCATCTGCCCTCCTGGGACAATCCAGCACTGGCCACACTGTGGTGAGACCAGCGTGGGTCCATGTTATCCCAGGTCCCTACAAATTGGGGTTTTGAAACCCAGCAGGTACACCTGAGGTGAACCACAGGAGCACTGTGCTACTGGATGGACCAATGATTCAGAAACAGGGTGGAGGCAGGGATCTGAGGAATGCCTGGGACTCACAAGGGGAGATTGATCACTCTTATGTAAGGCTTCCTGAACAGTGGTGGGTGTGATCTCTCTTCTCTGGGGCTGAGAGAGTTGGTTAATGCCATTTTTATCCCTGCCCCTCAGCACAGGTAGACTTTAGTGAGCAGCAAAGCACCCACACTGGAGGCTTGAGCTGCTTACACCAAACCCAGCCCCTGCTATGTTCTCCAGGTGCTTTTTTTTTTTTTTTTACTAGGGCAAGTGTGCCTGTGAGCCAGAGCAGCAATGGGCCCTTCCCCCAGGAGACCAGCACAACCCCCTGGATGCACCAAGTCTACTGACCATAGAATGCTGCAAAGCTTCACTTCTAGTGAAAACAGGATCTAAGGGAATTCCTGGGTGGCTCAGTGGTTTGGCGCCTGCCTTTGGCCCAGGGCACGATCCTGGAGTCCTGGGATCGAGTCCCACGTCAGGCTCCCAGCATGGAGCCTGCTTCTCCCTCCTCCTGTGTCTCTGCCTCTCTCTCTGTCTATCATAAATAAATAAAAGTCTTAAAAAAACAACAACAACAGGATCTAAGCTCTTTTTTAAAGGGGAGGGGCAGAGGGAGAAAGAATCTCAGCAGGCTTCATGCCCAGCATGGAGCTCATCATGGACCTCCATCCTACAACCCTAAAGTCATGACCTGAGCCAAAATTAAGAGTTGGTTGCTTAACTGACCAAGCTACCCAGGTTTCCCAGGATCTAGCCTCTTTTAAGAAGCAGACCAAAACACACCTGGTTAAAACTCACTACACACGGGACAAGGTCCAAACACTCCCCATGGAAGCAAGGAGAAACTCTGCAGAGGACTGACCAGAAGTAAAGAACAGCCAAAATACAACAGCAGAGTGGATATAGCATACATGAGATACTTCCTAAAGTGCCAGGCCATGGATAGTATATGACCTGTTCTTAATACAGTCATTAAGGAGCAGAAAACATAACAAACAGGCTTTCCTAACACACAGAAGACAGAGACCTGGACAAAATGCCAAGATAGTGGAAGCCACTCCCAAAAGAAAGGGATCTAGTCAAAACAGAACTAGAATTTAAAACATCATGGATTTGAGAAAGGCATAGAATACACCAGAGAGTCTTTTACCACAGAGATAAAAGGCCTAAAAACTAGTCAGACTGAAATAAAAAAATGCTATAATTGAGATGTGAAACCATTTGGAGGTAATGACCACAAGGATGGAAAAAACAGAGGAATGAAAATGTGATAAAGAAGATAAAATTTTGGAAAAATAATGAAGCTGAAAGGAGGAAAGAAAAATATTGGATCATGAATGTAGACTAAGGAAACTCAGTGATTCCATAAAGCATAATAACATTCATATCATAGGAATCCCAGAAGAAGAGAGGGAAAGGGGGGCAGAAGGTTTATTTGAGCAAATTATAGCCAAAACTTCCCTAATCTGGGGAAGGAGACAGACAGCCAAATCCAGGAGGCACAGGGAACTCCCATCAGAATCAACAAAAGTAGGCCAACACCAAGTCATATTGTGGTAAAATTTGCAAAATACAGTGATAAGGAAAAAAGTCCTGAGAGCAGCAAGGGAAAAGAAATCCCTAACTTACAAGGGAAGACAAATAAGGTTAGCAGCAGACCTGTCCACAGAAATCTGGCAGGCCAGATGAAAATGTCGTGATATATTCAATGTGATGAATGGAAAAAACATGCAGCCAAGAATACTTTATCCAGCAAGGCTGTCATTCAAAATAGAAGGAGAGATACAGAGTTTCTCAGGAAAACAAAAACTAAAGGGGTTTGTGACCGCTAAACCAGCCCTGCAAGAAATATCAAAGGGGATTCTGAATGGGAAACAAAGACCAAAAGTAACAAAAACTAGAAAGAAAATCTCCAGAAACACCAACTTAACAGGTAACAACACAAGGGCACTAAATTCGTATCTATCAATAATCACTCTGAATGTAAATGGAGTAAATGCTCCAATCAAAATACATAGGGTGTCAGAATGGATATAAAACCAAAACCCATCTGTATGCTGCCTATAAGAGACTCATACTAAACCAAAAGATACCTACGGACTGAAAGTGGGGGAATGGAGAACCATTTATGCTAATGGATGTCAAGAGAAAGCTGGTGTACCCATACTTGTAACAAAAACTAGATTTTAAACCAAAGACAATAACAAGAGATGAAGAAGAGCATTATATCATAATGAAGGGGTGTATCCAGGAGATCCCTGGGTGGCTCAGCGGTTTAGTGCCTGCCTTCAGCCTGGGACGTGATCCTGAAGTCCTAGGATCGAGTCCCACATTGGGCTCCTTGTGTGGAGCCTGCTTTTCCCTCTGCCAGTGTCTGCCTCTCTCTCTCTCTCTCTCTCTCTGTCTCTCATGAATAAATATTTTTTTTAAAAAGGGGTGTATCCAATAAGAAGATCTAACTATTGGTAAATATGCTCCAACTTGGGAGCACCCAAATATATAAATCAATAACAAACATAAAGGAACTTATTGATAATAACACAATAATAGGCAACTTTAACACTCTACTTACAACAATGGACATATTATCTAATCAGAAAAATCAACAAGGAAAAAATAACTTCGAATGACACACTGGACCAGATGGACTTACAGATATATTAAGAACATCTCATCCTAAAGCAGCGGAATACACATTCTTTTTGAGTGCATATGGAACATTCTCTGGAATAAATCACATACTAGGTCACAAATCAGGCCTCAACAAATACAAAAAAGATAGAGATTATACCATGCATATTTTCTGACCACAATGCTATAAAACTTGGAGTCAATAGCAAGAAAAATTTAGAAAGACCACAAATACATGGAGGCTAAAGAATATCCTACTAAAGAATGAATGGGGGATGCCTGGGTGGCTCAGTGGTCGAGCGCCTGCTTTCGGCCCAGGGCGTGATCCTGGAGTCCCGGGATCGAGTCCCACATCAGGCTCCCTGCATGGAGTCCGCTTGTGCCTCTCTCTCTCTCTCATGAATAATAAAATCTTTTAAAAGAAAAAAAGAATGAATGGGTTGGAGAATCTAGTGCTAAGTCAGGCTCCCTGCTCAGTAGGGGAGTCTGCTTCTCCCTCTCTTTCTGCCATTCCCTCCCACTTGTGTACACGTGTGGTCCCTCTGTCTCTTTCAAATAAAATCTTAGAATAAATGGGTTAACCAAAGATTAAGGAATTTATTTTAATAATTTTATTTTTAAGATTTATTTATTTATTTATTTAATTTATTTATTTATGAGAGAGAGAGGCAGAGACACAGGAGGAGGGAGAAGCAGGCTCCATGCTGGGAGCCCAACACGGGACTCAATCCAGGACTCCAGGATTGTGCCCTGGGCCAAAGGCAGGTGCTCAACCGCTGAACCACCCAGGCATCCCCCCAAATTAAGGAATTTTAAAAAATACATAGAAGCATATGAAAATGAAAACCCAACAGTCCAAAACAGTCCAAAACCCAACAGCAGCAAAATCAGTCATAAGAAGGAAGTATATAGCAATACAGGCCTACATCAAGAAGAAAGAAGTCTCAAATACACAACCTAACCTTACGCCTAAAGGAGCTAGAAAAGGAATAGCAAATAATGCCTAAAGCCAGTAGCAAAGAAATAATACAGATTAGAGCCAAAATAAGTGATACAGAGAAAAAACAGTAGAATGATCAATGAAACTAGGAGCTGATTCTTTGAAAGAATTAATAAACCATTAAACCTCTAGCCAGACTTAACGAAAAAAGGACCCAAATAAAATCACGAATGAAAGGGGAGAGATCACAACCAACACCACAGAAATACAATCAATTATAAGAGAATGAGCAATTATATGCCAAAAAATTGGGTAACCTGGAAGAGATGGACAGATTCTTTAAAAAATATAAACTGTCAAAACTGAAACAGGAAGAACTAGAAAATTTGAATAGACCCATAACCAGCAAAGAAACTGAATCAGTAATCAAAAATCTCCCAACAAACAAAAGTCCAGGGCCAGATAGCTTCCCAGAAGAATTCTACCAAACATTTAAAGAATTGATACGTACTCTTTTAGAACTGTTCCAAAAAATAGAATGGAAGGAAAACTCCCAAACTCATTCTTAGCGGCCAGCATTACCTCGATTCCAAAACCAAAGACCCCACTAAAAAAGGGAATTACAGGCCAATATCACTGATGAACATGGATGCAAAAAACTTAAGATACTAACAAATAGAATCCCATAGTACATTAAAAGAATCATTCACCACAATCAAGTAGGATTTATTTCTGGGCTGCAAGCATAGTTCAATATTCACAAATCAATCAACGTCATACACCATGTTAATAAAAAAAATGAGCCATATGATCCTCTTAATGGATGCAGAAAAAAAGGATTTGACTTAGTATGGCATCCATTCTTTTTTTTTTTTTAAGATTTTATTTATTTATTCATGAGAGAGAGAGGCAGAGACACAGGCAGAAGGAGAAGCAGGCTCCATGCAGGGAGCCTGATGCAGGACTCAATCCTGGGACTCCAGGATTACGCCCTGGGCCAAAGGCAGGCGCCAAACTGCTGAGCCACCCAGGGATCCCCTAGCATCCATTCTTGATAAAAACCCTCTACAAAGTAGGGATAAAGGGAACATACCTCAGCCTCATAAATGCCCTATATGAAAGACCCATAGTTAATATTATCCTCAAGGGGGAAAAACAGTTTTTCTTTAATGGCCAGGAATAAGACAGGGAGATCTACTCTCACCATTGTTATTTAACATAGTACAGGAAGTCCTAGCCTCAGCAATCAGACAAAACAAAGGTATCCATATCAATAAGGGAGAAGTCAAACTTTCACTCTTCCCAGACAACATGATACTCTGTAGAAAACCCAAAGAATCCACCAAAAAATTGCTAGAAGTGATACATAAATTCAGTAAAATCACAGGATACAAAATGAACAGAGAACCCTGTTGCATTTCTGTACACCAATAATGAAGCATCAAAAAGAAAAATCTAAGAATCAATAATTGCACCAGAAACCATAAGATACCTAGGAATAAGCCTAACCAAGGACGTAAAAGATCTGTACTCTGAAAACTATAGGACACTTAAGAAAGAAAGAGGACAAAAAGAAACGGAAAAACATTCCATGCTCATGGATTGGAAGAACAAATACTGTTAAACTATCCAAAATAATCTACACATTTAATGCAATCCCTATCAAAATGCCACCAGCATTTTTTTTTAATTTTATTTATTTATGATAGTCACACAGAGAGAGAGAGAGAGGCAGAGACACAGGCAGAGGGAGAAGCAGGCCCCATGCACCGGGAGCCTGACGTGGGATTCGATCCCAGTTCTCCAGGATCGCGCCCTGGGCCAAAGGCAGGAGCCAAACCGCTGCGCCACCCAGGGATCCCCACCAGCATTTTTCATAGAGCTAGAAAAAACAATCCTAAAATTTGTACATTACCACAAAAGACCGTGCTTAGTTAAAGCACCCTGGAAAAAGCAAAGCAAAGCTGGAAACATCACAATTCTGGTCTTCAAGCTATATTACAAAGCTGTGTGATCAAGACAGTATGGTACTAGTGCAAAAACAGACACATAGATCAGGGGAGCATAGTGGAAAACCTAGAAGTGGACCCAAAACTATATAGTCAACTAATCTTCAACAAAGGAGGAAGAATATCCAATGGAAAAAAGATAGTCTCTTCAACAGATGGTGTTGGGAAAACTGGACAGCAATAATAAGAATGAACTGGACCGCTTTCTTACACCATACACAGAAATAAATTCAAAATGGATGAAAGACCTAAATGTGAGATAGGAATCCGTTAAAACCATAGAGGAGAACACAGGCAGCAACCTCTTTAACCTTGGCTGTAGCAACTTACTAGACATGTCACCAGAGGCAAGGGAAGCAAAAGCAAAAATGAACTATTGGAGCCTCATCAAGATAAAAAGCTTCCACACAGTGAAATAATCAACAAAACTAAAAGGCAACCCATTGAATGGGCAAAGACATTTGCAAATGATAAATCTGATAAAGGGTTAGTATCCATTATACACAAAGAACTTACCAAACCCAACAGCCATAAAACAGTCAAGAAATGGGTAGAAGGCGTGAGGAGACATTTTTCTTAAGAAGACCTACAGATGGCTAAGACACATGGAAAGATGCTCAACATCACCATCATCAGGGGAATACAAATCAAAACCACAATGTGATACCACTTCACACCTGTCAGAATGGCTAAACTTAACAACACAGGAAATAGCAGATGTTGGCAAGGATGCTAGGAAAGGGGAACCTTTTGCACTGTTGGTGAGAATGCAAACTGGTGCAGGCACTCCGGAAAACAGTATGGAGGTTCCTCAAAAATAGAACTATCCAATGGTCCAGCCATTGCACTAGTAGGTATTTACCCAAAGAATACAATTATACTGATTCAAAGGGATACATACACCTTGATGTTTACAGCAGCAGTGTCAACAAGGGCCAAATTATGGAAAAGCCCAAATATTGACTGATGAATGGATAAAAAGAGGTGTGTATATATGCCTCAAAAGTGAAACAGGAAGAAATATATATATATTTTTTCCATATATATATGGAATATTACTCAGCCATAGGATAAAAATATCATTTGCAATGATGTGGATGAAGCTAGAGTGTATTATGCTATGTGAAATAAGCCAAAGACAAATACTGTCATTTCACTCATATGTCGAATTTAAGAAACACAACAGATGAATATAGAAGAGGAAAAAAAGGAGAAGCAAACAGAAAAAACACAACTATAGAGAACAAATAGGGTTGCTGGAGGGGAGATAAGCAGGGGGATGGGCTAAATGGGTAATAAGGGGGGCACTTACTGTGATGTGCAATGAGTGAAATAGGTAAGTGATGAACCACTGAATTCTACTCTTGAAACCAGTTACTCTACGTTAACTATGTTAACTAACTACAATGTAAGTAAATAATTGATACAAAGAAACAAAATAAAGATTAAAACAATAGGCTGGTGAAAATTTTTTAGAAAAGGAAATTGAATTATGTGTCAAACTGTCCAGTGTCAATGTGGATGAATAGGACAGTGAGCTAAAGTAATCATGAAGACTTTATTCAATTCCTGTGCTATTGCAGGTAAGAAGCAAATAAAACCTCTTCAGTGTTGCATTTTTTTTTTTTTTATCATGGAATGGCACCAGGCATGGGTCAGAGGATAGTGCTGGCAGTGGAAAATTGCCTCCCTGCTGAAGAGCTGGACAACACACTCCTATCATTTTTGAACTTGGGATTTGGGAGAAGGAAAAGGGAGAATGGAGTACATCCCTTTTGTACAAAAGGGAGTACAAAAGTACTGAGTCAGTCTTAGTCAAAGTCCCCTGATAAGGAAGTCTTGGTAGAGGCTCCACTGTACAGAGGCCTCTGGGGGGCAGTTGGGCTGGGAATGCTGAATGTGTATCAGCAACGTTGGCTCAGGGCTAGAAGGAGGCTCAGAGTCCTTGACTGCAACTCCTTCGAGAGACTGCAACACACTGACCGTGCACCAAGTTTGTTGTGAGGAGGGCAGTTTTTCCCTATGAGGCCAGCTTGGTAAAGCTTGTGTAATTGCCTGTCATTGAACCTGAAGGATCACTTACAAGGTTTTGGCCTGGAACCACATGTTGTGGCACTTAATGTTAAAAGTAGTAACAGACATAAAGGAGGATGTATATGCCACAACAAATTAAAAAGATGTTAAAACCCCTTTGCACCAAGGAAAGATAAATAAAAGTATTAGAAATTTAGAAACCTGATTTTTAAAATGTCCCGACAGGAGATAGCATCACACCATTTAGAAATGGTATTGAATTAAAACAGATATATATACACATGTGTGTCTGTATGTAAGTTCACGTAACAGCTGTCTTATTATTTCAGTTGCACTTCATTTGTGTTGCTAAGGAAGAAGAGCATCTGAGACAACATTTGCACAACTCAGAGGCTGGTTTTGGTTCTGGTATTTTAGAGCACCAATTTCTTGTCATATATATCACTCTTCTATTGTGATCAAGACAGTATTTTTTTTTTTTAATGTAACCTCTGTGCCCAGCATGGGGTTGAATGCATGACACTGAGATCAGGAGTCGCATGCTCTACCAACTGAACCAGCCAGGCACCACAAAACAGTATTTTTTAATACATTTAATATTTAGAGTTACCCATGCATTTGTTTCCATTTTTTTTCCTGTGCATTTTTTTTCTGTCTGAAGAATTCCGTTAGTATTGCTTTTGGTGTAGATTTGCTAAGAGCAAACTGGTTTTTGTAGGAAAGAATATTTTCTCTTCATTTTGAAGGGTATTTTCACTGGGACTAGAATCCTAGGTTAGATTTTTGTTTCACTTCACTATGTCAATAATGAAAATTTCATTCCTTTGTCTTCTAGATTCTCTAATTTCTGTTGGAAAGTCAGTCATCAACTAGTCTTGTTGCTCCTTAGAGGGGGAATGGTCTTTGTTTTCTGGCAGCTTTTTTCTCTTTATCTTTCAACAATTTTACAGGGCTCTTAGAAGATGATCATTGTTTTGGAGCTCTGTGATCAAGGAGGAAAGCAGTAAAACATGAAGTATAAGAGTTAATGGTCCAGCTCATGTTGGGCTTTGCAGGATATGGTAAGGACTTTGGGATTTACTGAATGCTGTGGAGATCTATAGAGTGTTCTAATCAAAGAGTGATCCATGGTCTGATTTACACGTTTTAAAAAGGCTAAATTTGTGTTGGGAATGTCAGGAAGACCCATTAGTACACTACTGTAATAATGTAGATGAAGGACAATGGTGGCTTGGACTTTTTTTTTTTTAATCATAAATGAGCAATGAAGTGTACTCTCAGCATCTGTTAAAATATTTAATTAGTCGAAGTGGAGAATGATAAGAGATTTCCTAACAAAAAAACACTCTTGCATCCTTGGAATAGAACTAATCTGATAGTATATTTTTAATGTTTATAAATTTGCTAGTATTTAGAAAATTTGTAATGGATGCAAGAGTGGATTTAGGAAAGTGATTTTATTCTTCATACCATCCTTTTCTGGTGTGGTACATCAAAAGCACACTGTGAGACTGGCTTTATAAATGGAATTAGGAAGTTTTCTTAAGTTTAAAAGCTCTCATTTCTAGGATATTTGTGAAATATTCTGGACTTATCTTTTACGGGTAAATTTCTAACTCAAAACTGATTTAATGGTTCTTTTTTTTTCTCCCTTGATAAATTTTGCTGGAGGCTTTAAAATAATTATTATTTTCAGATAGAGGTTTTGATTTTGTTGATCCTTTATTCCATTTCCTTAGTTTCTCTTTTTCTTTCATTCTGATTTCCTTACGGTTTATTTTGCATAGAAACATTTTTTTTTAAAAGACTATTAGAGAGAGAGAGGAGGAAGGGGCAGAGGGAGAGGGAGAGAGAAAATCCCAAGCAGGCTCCCCATCATAGGGCTCAACCTCATAACCCTGGGATCATGACCTGAGCTGAAACCGAGAGTAGGACACTCAACTGACTGAGCCACCTGGGTGCCGCAAAGTAAAATAGTACTCCAGTTGCACATTACCAAGTCTTATATGCAGCTTTCACTTATTTAAATAATGCTGGACACCTATGTGTATTCCTCTGTATTGCAGTGAGAAAAATCCAAGAGATCTTTGAGATTTGAGGTGCATTTGCAATTTAAGATAAAAAATATCTTAAAAATATATTAAAAAGGTTATATGTCATTTCATTAGAAGTATTCAATTTTTTAAAAAATTTATTCATGAGAGAGAGAGGCAGACACACAGGGAGAGAAGCAGGCTCCATGCAGGGAGCCCGACGTGGGGCTCGATCCTGGGCCTCCAGGATCACTCCCCAGGCCGAAGGTGGCACTAAACCACTGGACCACCGGGGCTGCCCTAATTTTTAATATGCCTTGTTTTCTGAAGTTAGTATTTTCAATTCAAGCATTTGGGCATAAGAATTTCTTTCAGGCTGTCTTCATAGATTCCTTCTAGTTTTTTTTTTTTTAAGATTTTATTATTTATTCATGAGACACACAGGGAGAGAGAGAGGCAGAGACACAGGCAGAGGGAGAAGCAGGCTCCACGCAGGAAGCTGGACGTGGGACTTGATCCTGGGTCTGCAGGATCACGCCCTGGGCCGAAGGCGGCGCTAAACCGCTGAACTCCCGGGGCTGCCCTACTTCTAGTCTTAATTGTTCTGTTGTCTGAAACTCTGTATGACGGTCTTTGGTCATTCACTGAGATTTGCTTTATGGTTTACTGATATTTTTATAAATATGCCATGTGTAAAGTTTTACCTAACAGTTGAGTGACAGTTTATGTAAGTATTAAATCTAGTTTTTAAAATTCTATTCTTTTATATACTTATTACCTATCAGTTATCACTGATACTTTGGGCCTAAATTTCTCTTTGTAAGTGTTAATTGCTTTGTAGATTTCAAAGCCTGTTGTTTCAGTTTTTAATTCCTGGTGAATTGCTCTATTTATCATTGTTAAAAGCTCACTTTTTATCTCAAGACCTTTTTTTCACCTTAAAGTCAATTTTATCTGCTTAATAGTTTCACAATTTCATTTGGCATTTTTTCATTCCATCAATTTAAACTATCACGTCATTGTGTTTAAGAATTATCTTTGTAAAAACCACATAGTTTTTAAACTGGCAAGTTTATGGTATTTACGTTTACTGTGCCTACTGACATTCAGATTTCTATTGTTTGTGTGATGTGTTTTTTGCTTGTTTGCCTTCAACAGGGTTCATTTTCTTAACTACAAATTGTTTGCCTCTTGCTACTTTTTTTTTTTTTTTTTTTAATTCACGAGAGAGACAGAGACAGGTAGAGGGAGAAGCAGGCTCCTCGCAGGCAGCCTGATGCGGGACTCGATCCTGAGACTCGGGACCATGACCCAAGCCAAAGGCAGACAGACACCCAACCGCTGAGCCACCCAGGTGCCCCTAATTTACTTTTAATTCAACCTAACCCTTGCTAGCCTTAAAACAGTACACAAATCCTTTCAGGTTTACTTACATTGCTTTTTACTACCACAGTGAACTTAAAATAGGAAACCAAAATAATCATTTGGCAATGCTGCTGCTGGACACTAGTTCAAAGTGCCTTCTTGGCATTTGCAGGTTTACATCCTTCTTGGCATTTGCAGGATGTAAACCGTCTTCAACCTTTTCTTCCTTACACTTAGGGAGAATTTTTAAGGATTAAGTATTGGGAGGTACTTATAATCAACAGACATTCCTCCTTCACCTTTGGAAGGCAGTGTCTTTCCTGTTTAATTACTACTGACTTAGGTTTTGCAACAAAACAAACCTAAATCCTATCCAGTTCTCCCAAATTCAGGATAAGAAGAGGACTGAAATGCCAATTGTTAAGCCTTCTAAGACTTATCAAGTATTTATTTGCATTTCCTTGGACAGTCTAAAGTACATGGGGGTATAAGCATTTTTCTAGACAGAGGATACATTAGTCTTCAATGCTTTTGTTTTTTCTATCCCTAGAAGATTAGGCACCAGATGCTCTATCTAGACCACAGGACCTCAATCATTTTTTTTATCCCAACAACCTAAACTACTTGATACATTTTTGTCAGGAACAGGGATTTTCAAACAGGAGCTATTATAAGACTCACTGGAGCATGGAGTTCTTCCTCTATGCCTACTGAAATGTCATTTATTCAAATGAATTGAAATTCATTCAAATTCATTTATTCCCCCATTTTCTCTTCCAGTACATAATGCTAAATTATTCTGACACAACACATCCAAACTATTTTAGTTTTCAGAATCAATAGCATCTGAAGGTTTAAAAATTTGCCCATTTAAAGACCCTCGTCAATAAGCAAATTTTTATAAATGTCTCTGATGACTTGTCTACAAACTACCATCAGGTCAATAAAATTCAATATGTGAAAATCAAACCTCAGGTGTGCAAAACGCATGGTTCATGGAGTAAATAGATATACGTTTATTCTAATTACATGACTTGACAATGTGCACTGTCATCCAAAAAGTAATTGCATTTATTATCAATTGCTATTTCTTGACTAGTATGAAGATGTAAATTTACATAAAGTGTTTTATATACTTTGATCCTGATATCTGTAAACATTTTTAAGGATGTTTGTGAACCAATATTGTATGCCGAATCTATATTATTCCTAGAACGTTACAATGTAAAATCACAAACCATTCTCATGTTGACTCACTGAAGCTGAGGGTCTATTACATGCGAAAATCAGTTGATTATTTTTTTACACATCACACTTGGTTATGATTTTATGCATTGCACTGGTTACTCTTTGTATTGAAAACAAACTGGGAAATTAAAGTAGGAACTAAACTGCCAGATGTTGTTTTACACTAATGACTAGAGTCAGAGTCACCATGTACATAAATTATTTTAATAGTGAAGAAAAGAAAAAATGACTTGGATGCCATACTGTTAGAACTAAAACAATTTGATAATTTCAATAAAAACCTGCTTCTATATACTGTAATATTAAACAATGGCTTCATCATACCAAGTATAAAGGGAAACCACTTTTAACGTGAGTTCCCTAAGACACTAAGCCATAAAATTTTATTTCAGGGACAAAAATACGACAAAAATACAACACTTTATAGCATTACCTTGATTTCCCTATTTCTAATTACATTTTAACATCTTATTCTGGATGGGTCCATATGATTTCAAGGGGATTTTAACTCAAGGTCTTGGAAGCAAAAATTTAGGAAATTCTAAACAAGAAGATGCACAGCACATGTATGTAAATCAGAAAGCAACAGTGAATGGAAGGTGGCTAACCTTTAACTATTTTGAATTTTGGACCCTTGTTATTTTGTCACATTGATATTTGTTTTAAAAGTAAGGAATGTTGGATTTCTTAATACATGATAATTCACAAAACTGACCTCTTTTGGTCTGGAACTACTTAAAAGTATTCTACTTGAAAGTATTCTAAGGCCAAAACATGAAAAATCTTTAAATTTTAGAGATATTATGTATGGAAACTTAAAACACGACTTTTCAAGTATGAATTTAAGAGTCAAAACATTCTTCACAGTTAAGATTTGGTATTTAAAGGGAACAAAGGTAATAAAATTAGCTATCAAAGTGGTAGGATAGCAGTGAAACTATTTTTAAAAATCCACGAAATAAAAGCCCTAAAGAATAATCTAAAATAAAAAAGCAAAATATGCTTGAGAAAAATAGGAGACCCTAGAACTGGATGAGAGGACAAATAAAACAAGATTAACCAGAAAGAATAAGATCATTTCTATCTACAGTTTATACACATAAAAGAAAGACATACTGAATTTCACTTATCTTTGTACAGGATGGGTTATTTTTAGGTATCAATATACTTAATAATCACCCTGTGACTTAGAACATGACAGTAAAACAAAGATTATACTGTTAATTTTTGTTATGGTTATGGACTTTGACCTGCTTGACAGGCTGAGTCAAGTGTTCATGATTCAATTATTAGTTTTTTTTCTTTGACTTGGATGTTCCCAGTCACTTATAACAACATATTTTAACAGATGTGCTTTTTCTTTTAGTACTTCTAATAATATGCTAGAAGTATCCTTGGGGATCTGGAAGACGAAAGAACTGTTTCCACCTATTAGGTAACCTGACTGCTGCCATAGACATTTAAGTTTTCTCTCCTAAACAGTTCCAGTTTAACATTCTAAGAATTCCTGGTGCCCTTTGGGTAAAACAAATACCCTTGAATTTAGTAAAAAAAAAAAAAAAAAAAAGTTTAAACATCTGGTTGTTTTATAAACCGAAAGCTGTTTTCTTAGGAAACCAGAGTATATAGAAGAACACTGATTTTAGTACATTTTAGAGATGTGAAAGCAAAATAGCTGAAGTCTTTTGTTTTGGTTAAGAGTTTTGGTCTTTTTGATTTGCATTAAATTTGTCACTTTTGTATCAAAAGATAAAGAATTATATGCTTCCTGGGAACTTTTAAAATAAGACCTTGGATTAAATAAGACCCTTGACAAAAAAACAAAAGGTAATTTTAAACCTTTTTCTTTTTTGATCAAAAAGTCTTCTGAAATTGACTGCTTTAAGATTAGAGTTTGCTAAATGATAGTTATAAAACACTGTAGAGTAAGAGGATAATAAAATATTAGAGGCACACTTTATAAGCATCCTTACTACCTCTGTCATTTGAAAAGTTATCAGTGGCTAACTTATCAATGCCATCAGATTTTAAGTATTCATACAATTAGTGCCATCAGATTTTAAGTATTCATACAATTAAATTATGCCTATCATTAAATTTTATAGGATCAAATATCACAAAGCCAAATTCCACTTAAAACTTCCAGAGTTTAACCGCAAAATAATATGTACCTTAGACTTGAAGTTTTTGGTTGTAAATTTCTAGAAGGTGAGAGAGATGAAGTTCTGTTTCTCATGTCATTTAATAGTCCCTTAAATAGTATGTAAGATCAATGCCAAGGTTTCAGTTGTTGTGAACTACTAAATATCAGCTATTAAAAACAAAACAAAATCCTGATGGAAAGGTTTATAGGTTTATCATTATAAAATTTATGAAAATGAAGGAATGGTTCTATTTATTTTAGGTCAAACTGAAGTCAGGTTACTGGATTACTATATTTGAATGCTCATTGTCTTTTAAATCTTGATAATTTTTCAAAACAGTTCAAGATGTGCTAACTTGGATAAAATGCTTTAACACTTATTATTATATTGAAAATTGAGCCCCAAAATTCATTTTAATATGGGCTTCTATCTAGGAAATAATCCTAAATACACTAAAAATTGGCCAAGAAACTCTAAGAAATCTTTATTGCTTCTTAATGAAAGTCTAATTAAATTATACTCTTAAACTAAGATTATCTGTTTATTCCAAAAGCCCAATTCTTTGGTGTGCTGTTTCTAATTGTTTTAAAACGTAAGAATTCTGTATATTGCTAAGGACCTGAAACATCACAAACTTATTTAGGAATCTTTTTTTTTTTTTTTAAATCACAGTATGGGTATCAGGAGTTGGATTCTGAAATCAAGTAATTTCTATTTTTCCAAAGTGTAGTAATCATCTTAGATATTTTTTACATATTCGGTTCATATTTGATCTTAAGAAAACATTCTAATTTTCTGTCTTTTAAAATAACTTCTAAAATAGTGGGCTTTTTATTTTGAAGAAAAGTTTTCTCATCTAGTCTTGCATATATTTCAGTGCAGATCAAAATTAAACTGAACCATATCTTCTACCCAAAACTGTATTAAGGAGAATGAATTTTCCTTTATTAACATATTCAATAAATAACCACATCATAAGGTTAAAGGGCTTTTGAAAATATCATTTTAGCAGAATGAGTAGGGAAAGTATACAAACTATCTTTGGATGTACTTAAGTAAAATGTTCTATAACTGCAAAAACTGGAATGTTATATATCTGACTAAAACATAGAACTATATAAACTAAAGAGAAGGAACAGAATATGTCAGGCATAATTAGACAATTCAGATGCAGAAAGGGTTATTTTCCTCATTTGTTCACAATAAGTTTTGGAACTATATAGCTCCTAACGAAGTGGGTAATTTTCTTGTTAACTCAAAAAAAGCTATAAACTCCCAATGTGTAGTATTGAAATATTCCTAACTTTGATGCACTTCCTGAAATGAACCTTTTTGTTCAACTTTTGAAAGAAAGTAACTGATGCTTCAAAGAAAACAAAAAGTACTTCATTACTAATGGATATGATTAGTTCACTTTTAGAGTATTCAGACAAGGTTAAATTTAAAGACTAGAAGACATTAAAAATATATTGGGTCTATAGGATTTTTTAATCCAAAAAATGGACATCTCCCTCAAAAGGGATGAATAAAAATCCCTGCAAATGCACCGCTCCATACTCTCCCCTTTCAGTGCAGACTACATTGTAGAAACAAAATCTCTCTTAAGAGAACTATTTGTGAGAAATAATGACTATCCCTAAAGATACTCAACTCTCAATTTTTACTACTTAAGAAAAGTCAATAGTAATTGTTCTTAATATAAAGGTTTAGCTTTGGGGAAAAGTGAGCCTTTCAAAATTTTAACTTAGGTTTAATCTAGTTGATTGGCATGGAACACAAGTGCCCATGGCATTATCTATGCTTCTTGTAGGATTGGAAAGTCATTTCAGTCTGCTCCCTTACTTAAATAGTTCCAAGCCTCTGAACTGAACAATGTGAACAAATCTGGTGATGAAGCACAGACTAAGTCCTTAAAATATCTTAATTTCACAGTCCCTTGTCCCATAAAATATATATAAGAAGCACCAAAACTGGAGCCAAGATCTGAACAGGTGATGTAACAGCAGGAACTATAATTTAATCACATCATATCATATTACACTTATGTAACATTCTATATTTTGCCTGTTGATATGTAACATAGTTAAGTTTATTACAAGCATTATTTCCTAAGACTTACGGTATAAGTACTTCTTTTCAAGTATTACCGCGTATTTAATAGTGTTTACCTATTTCTTAACATTAAGTAAATCAGTGATAAATGTATATAATGCGATACACATTGTGCCATTTCTCCCTACCCTGTGTTAAGATATTAACAAAATCAATTAAGAAAACCAGAACAACTATTGAAATTGAAACAAGGCTATCAACATCACAGATGCGTGTCAGAGTAGGTCAACAGCATTTCCCCCTTAACATGAAGGTATTTTCATCAAAAATGCTTCTTATCTTTAGGCTAGTATTACTTTAGCAGCAGCTGGTCTTCAGGACAAGTAGATCAGAAGTTTCAAGTGAAAATGACACTGAATTACTCTGAGAAAACATCAATCCACATTACTAATAAAAGATGCAAACTGCTGGTGTCACCGTAACATAAAAATTGTGTTTTCCCTTTTTTAACATGTGATTTAGTTCATTTATGTGATGACAACACTTTGAAGTTCTCATGGCACACCAATGAGACTATCTGTTTTAATATTTAAATTATAACTACAATAACTAGAAAAAAGTCAGTGCCTCAGTGGCTTTAAACCACATCAATCTCAATGTTTTTCAAAATGATGATGCAATTAAATCTATGCTTCTGCAACAATAGTGCAATACAGTATCCTCTCCTGAATACAGGAGTTGAGGTTTATCCAAGTAGAAGCTTTAAATAAGGTAGATTGTTGCCAAATACATATCAGTCTTGCATGTTTGATACAACATGTATTAGGAAAGCTAAAACTGACTTGTAAATCTATACTCAGCTAAAGCTTCACATAAGCAGCAATGGAAATGAACAGAGGTGCACTCAATATAAAACACTTTTCAAAACTACTGCAAAAAACAAATGACAAAAAGTGGTTAAGAACAACTGAACATATGTTGTGTGTACCACATGTAAAAGGAAGAATGGACCTTGTGGTTGCTTGCACTGTTTGAATTATGTGAAGGTGAAATTAAGACTTAGTCCACTTCCATCTCTCCAGAAGATTTAGTATGCTGGGAGCTGTCTTTTGTTGTATCTGGTTTAGTTTCAGTCCCACTCTGTCCATCCATTGGTCCATTGTGTTCACTATTAGCTTTTGCTTTGTCTTCAGCAACCTCTACTTTCGGTTTGGGCTTGTAAATGATGGGGTTACAAAAATTATCCAGGTCCTAAAGACATGAAGAAAAGTGATTATATTAAAAATACCACAGAACAGGTTACCATTAACTTTCTAAATTTCTACATTACTGTGACATTCCTGAACTTATGTTAGCTCAGTTAGATAACCAAGTTTCTTCAAATACGTCAATGAAGCATCACTTCTGAGTTAGTGCATGTTAGTGTCGACAGGGAACTCTTAAATCTTTAATAATAATACTTTGTATCTAATCTTCCTAAAAACTGGTTCTTTATAATGACAGTTTTCTTGGGCAGAAATAATTTTTAACTTATTCCTTTAAATTATGCCATCAAAAAACACCTACTTTATAAATTGATATTTACATGAAAACAGCTCTAATAAGTGGAATTGTAGAACTATGTTGAAGGAAAATGTGAATTCATGAATGTGAATGCAATTTAATAATTTAAAGTAAATACAATGTGTTTTTTCTATCTTGGCTTATTTCTTTTTAACAAGGAAATAAAAGACCATTAAAATCCGTCAAGACCAGTGTCAAGAGATTGGCATAGGGATGGAAAGATAAGGAGTTAACATCCTGGGGGGATGCTTTAGTGGCAAACTGCTTTTACTACACTCTATATCTCATTTGATTAGGAGCAAACTATTACAGCTTCTTTGCAAAACTTTCTTGAAAGGAAAATACTTTTATTTGATTAAAAAAAACTCTGAACTAGATTTTTTAAAAAAGCACCTGAAATTTCATCTTCTAGATTAACATTAACATTTTGGTGAGTATTCTTCTAGATATATGTACATGCAGACACATGCCTGCAAACCTACGAATCTATGAAGATACTTCCTAGATTTATTTATACAGCGAGAGAGCTGTACATTTAGATTCTGTAATCTTTCCTTTTTCACTCAGTATGTTGTACACATCTATCTAAATAGATCTCTGTATCTAAAATTATGTAATGGTTGCAAAGTGTTGTATGGATGCTTCAATTTATCTAGTTTCTTACTGATAGGTTATTTGTTTATTGCAATTTTTTGCTAATTAATAAGCAAGGGTATTTATGTGCCTATACTTATCATGAATTCCTAGAATTGTGATCTCTGGGTTAATGTGTACTTTATTTATTTTATTTATTTTTTAAAAGATTTTATTTATTCATGAGAGAGAGAGAGAGAGAAAGGCAGAGACACAGGCAGAGAGAGAAGCAGGCCCCATGCAGGGAGCCTGATGCGGGACTTGATCCCGGGTCTCCAGGGTCATGCCCTGGGCTGAAGGCGGCGCTAAACCGCTGAGCCACCCGGGCTGCCCTGTGTACTTTCTTTAAATTTCTATACATATACAGACACAAAATATAATAAATTCAACTAAGTTGCTCAGGGAGAGCATCCATTTCTTCCCACCCTTGACAACTTAGGACAAAGACAATGTAAACACATAACCATGAATCAGATGAAAAAAAAAATGGGTGAGAAGAACCTGAGGAGGATGAACACCTTTTCATGTATTTATAGGACATGTATACCTTCTTTTGTCCATTGCTTATCCAATGTCTTTATTCATTTTTCTACTTAGATGCTGATCTTTATTATTGTTCATCTTCATATTTTTCATGGTGTTTTTTTCCTATGATAATCTTTAGACTGGGAAGTTTATCTCAGAAATAACTTTACCACAGAATTTTACAGTTTTCAAATAATGTCAAACATCTACACTGCAAAGTTTTACAACGGAGACTTAGAAGTCTTATCTAGTCTAGAAGTCTGACATATTTAGCAGTAAGAAATTGTCATATTGCTTTATTTCATTCCGTATTACACTTAAAATGTAAAAAACCAGCCTTGTGTATGTGACTAAATCAAGGAACAGGATGTCCCACCTAGAATCTATTTTTTTCCAAAATTAAAAATTAGCCTTAAATTTATTTCTGAGTTTTTTTTGAAAGTTGAATATTTCCCAAAGTATGGCTCCCATTAAAAATATTTAATGCTTGAACACATTAAACAGAATTTTATAAGTTACTTACCTTTGACTTTGCAACTATTTCTGAAACTTTCACCACAGGATCTTGAGTGAGACTTAGTTTGTTCTGTGCATTCATCTTACTGTTCAGCCAACTCATGGCTTCACTAATGTATTTTTCAACTTTTTCCACATCAGCAGGATCCAGATGATCGTATCTTTCATCCTATTAAGTAACAGATTTATTTCAGTAAGCATACTTCCTTTTAAGAGATTTAGATTCTTACTGAATGCATGCCTCACACGTACCCACGGAAATAAGCCACATACAAATTGCATAGAATTGAAGACTGGGAGAAAGAAAAAAATCAGTTCTCGATTTTTAAAAAGAAAGGTTTTCTGAAGAAGTCAGGTTTGCCAAGAAATGCCTAGTGGACAATATTCAGGAGAACAGTTCTTAGCCAAGAAAGAAGCTGCATGGAATTGAATTTGTTAGAAAATAGAAATAAGGGAAGAAGGCATACTGCAAGCTAGACAGAAAATTCTCAATATACAGCAGAACAATACGGTAAGTTAAGGATAATTACAGAGTAAGGTTCTGTCTGAAAAACTAATAACTGCAGCCACAACATACAGGAAACAATCTAAGGAGTCATGGTTTAGGATGGAAGTCACACAACCAGGATGATATGGCAATGCACCTACAGAAAGAGGATCTCCTGATGGGTCACCTGCTGGATTACAGACTGGACATGGAAAATAAAGGGAAATGGAATGAAAGAGTACTCCGAAGCCAAGGAACCGGGAGAATGTGGTGTTTTAAAACTGCAAAGCTTAATCCCATATGCTTCCTTCTGCTTGTAGGATTACATATACGCATACTTGATCTTGAACTCAGTTTCTGGGTCTCCACATTTTCTTGAATCCCCTCCTACTTCATGGATCACATCTTAAATTCCTTCTCATTCATCCTTTTATATGCATGCTTTCAAAAAATGTAGCCTGAACCTCTTCCCTTAACTCCCAACTCTATATCCATCTTTCAATTTGAATTTCTATTTATAAAGACTGAAATGACCACCTACATTTCAAAGTCCTGATTATACCCCCACCTACTCTTCTCAGTTCCCCCCATCTTAGTAAATGGCTGATTTTATCCTCCCAGGCCATATCTCTAGAGTCATTTTTGACTCCTTGGTCACATTTACATAAAAATCTGTCACCAGATCTTACTAGGTCTGCCTTTAAAATATGAGCAGATATCTGACCCCTTCAATATCCAAGGTTCAAGCTTCTATCATTTGTTATTCTAATATCCCAATTAATGTGTTTCTGTATCCTTTAAAAAAGTCAAATTATATCAGTTCTTTTTTTTTTTTTTTAAGATTTTATTTATTTATTCATGAGAGACAGAGACACAGGCAGAGGGAGAAGCAGGCTCCGTGCAGGGAACCCAACGTGGGACTCACCCAGGTCTCCAGGATCAGGCCCTGGGCTGAAGGCAGCGCTAAACCGCTGAGCCACCCAGGCTGCCCCAAATTATATCAGTTCTATGGTCAAAAACCTCCAATGGATATCTCAAAGCCAAACTTCTACAACAGCCTAGTAGGCACTAGGCCCTTTACGATATGGCAACTGCTAATCCTGTTCCCATTGTTTTAAGCCCCTCTGGCCTCCTTACTGTTCCTCCAACACATTCTCCCCTAGAGGTTTTGTAATCACTTTCCCTTTTCTTTTATACTTAAGTTGTCTTGAGCCCTCACCTCCTTAATTCTTTCCTCACAGTATATCATCTTATTAGTCTGCCCTTCTGACAAATCTCCTCATTTGGTGATTGACTTTTTCAATAGCCCTTTATCTCTATCTGACTAATTTTTGTTTTTTCTATCTTACTACTTTAACTTATTTACTGCCTACCTTTCCCTATTGAAGCATATTAGAAATGGGTTCAATGTCTTCTTTGATGCTTGTAGTTCGAGCACCTTGAACTGATGACAGCCGGGCACATAAGAAGAACTCAAAATCTTTGAATATAATTGAAGTCTTGTCTTGCTTTGGGTATCTACAATCTGCATACTCGAAGACTACTAAAATCTGGGGAACAGGGCCATGTAATTGTATGTGGATCTCTAATGCCAGATTTCAAATATTCTTGTTTTCATTTGTCTGCTTCCTTCTTACCTTTCCATTATCCTTATATTCTCTCTTTGTACCTGTATGAACAATTTGGACACTGACAATAGCGGGCATATTCACAGTCAGTACCTGGATTCTTTTCAGTTGGCTGGATTATGATCTTTACAAAATTCAAAATCTATTTGTAAAATAAGTAACCTCTTCCCACATTGTGTAGCAAAAAGTAGTATAGCAGTTAGGAGTCTATATGTTAACTTCACACTGTTCAGGTTTTAATCCGAATTCCATCATTTACAACCAGTATAATCCTTGGCAAGTTTCTTAAGCACTGCAGTTTTCTTATATCCTTGTGAGAATAAAGTGAGATAATCCATGAAATGTGTTTATATTCATTGTTTTATAAACAGTTTATTTTTTTAAAAAGATTTTATGTATTTATTCATGAGAGAGACAGAGAGAGAGAGAGAGGCAGAGGCACAGGCAGAGGGAGAAGCAGGCTCCATGCAGGGAGCCCAATGTGGGACTCAATCCTGGGACTCCAGGATCACGCCCTGGGCCGAAGGCAGATGCTTAACTGCTGAGCCACCCGGGCTGCCCTATAAACAGTTTTTAAGTTATTATGAAGATAACCTGCCTGAATCTGGTGTTAGCCTCTCCTGTTTACTGATTTTAACACCAGTGGTAAAAACTGGAGAAATTATAGTGAATATTTAAAGTAAGGGTCAGCAAACTTGTCCTGCAGGCCAAATCCAACTAGCTACTTTTTTTTTTTTTTTTAAGATTTTATTTATTTATAAGGGAAGGGGGAGAGAGAGAATCTCAGGCCGACTCTGCACGGAGCCTGTAAAACCTAAAATATTTACTATTTGTTCATTTAAAGAAAAAGTCTGCTACTCTCAGGTTTAGAGGGAAAAAATGGTAAGCTTAATTTCGTCAAATCTTACTGTTATGTCCAAAAGGAGAGATCATTTATATAAATATTTGAGGCTTAAAAACAGTGGAAAAGTTAAGGGTATAGATTTTAGTTTGTATATATGAGAGAATATAGGGTACAGGAGATTACAAATGTCCACTGGACTGGAGAACAAAGAGCAACCAAAAGCAAAAGAGGCCAAAGAACAAAATAAAGCCTAACAGAGTCCTGTCTCAAAGGAGGCCTGTGATAATACAAAGTCCAAGAAAACTTTTTTCACTGTGTCAATAATGAAATCCCTAAGAAAAAAGAAAAAAATGGATTTAGTCACTGGATGAAAGTGTGATTTTAAGGAATTTTAAGATATTAAATTCACATAACTGTATTTTAAGGAAGTACTCTTTAACAATCATTTTCCAATAAAAAAAAAAACAGGCTTTTTTGGGAAAGAAACAGTACGTGGAATTTTAAGATATTAAATTCACATTAACTGTGTATTTTAAGGAAGTACCCTTTAACAATGATTTTCCAATTAAAAAAAAAAAAACAGGTTTTTTTGAGAGAGAAAGAGCACATAAGCCAGAGGAGGGTGGAAGGCAGAGGCCAAAGGGGGAGAAACGATCCCAAGCAGGCACCAAGTTCAGCATGGAGCCCAGCACAGGGCTTGATTCCAGGACCCTAAGACCATGACCTGAGGCGAAATCAAGAGTCAGACACTCAAATGATTGAGCCACCCAGGCACCCTTCCAATAAAAAAAGTTTTAAATTTGGTACACGAGGTTTCTGGAATTTGGTGGCACAACTACTATATTTTTATAGCTGAGAACTTGCAGATTGACCCAGCACTACCATGTAACTATACACATGCCATCATCAGCAGTGGGCCTTGTGTCTTCCGTACCTTGTTTCTGTATGCTTCTATCACTTTCATAACAAGCTGAATCTTTTTTCCCAAGTCGTTTAAAGCTTTTGGTCTCTCTTCATGTTCCATGTACCTCATCTGAATAGGCTGGCCATATTTCTGTTACGAAATTTTTTTAAAAGAAAAAAGTTATTAACAGAAAACAACTTTTAACAAAAGACAACTTTTATTGGACCTTTACATGATGATGAATAGGAAAGAAAGCTGGCCAGATAAAATATGCCTCTCCTCTGTTTCCTTACATGAAAGTAAATTCCAGTAGTTATTTCCTTATGCAACCCTGAGATGCCTAACTAATGATTTGTAGCTCTCATTTATTAAGACTATTTCTTGATTCCTCTCAAACACAAAGGCAACACTTTTAATTTCTTCAAAGTTAGTGTTAAAAATTTACAGAGGTATTAAATAAGACCATAAGGATAATTTGGTACAGAATTCATCTTTTTGAAACTTGGTTTCAAATATTTCTGTGTATAACTCTTTAAACAACATGATTACTGGGATTTCTGGATATACAGCTTCTGTAACTTTGAGGAGCGGATGCATTAGAACAATGAATACCTATTTTCTCTTATATTCTTTATACATTAAAAAAATCAGCTTATTTTAGAATTTTAGATTTTCAGATAAGTTATAAAGGAAATAATAGAGCATCAAGTACCCCTCTCATTGCTATCCTCTAAATTTAACATCTTATTACATACACTTGTCAAAACTAAGAAATCAACACTGACACAGTACTATTAACTGAACTCCAGACCTCATGTGGACTTCATAATTTTCTGTTCCAGGATACCAAATTGCATTTAGTTTATTTACATCATATTTTTATTGTCTTATATGTATTTTAAAGATTGTATTTATTTGATAGACCGCAAAAGCAGGCGGAATGGCAGGCAGCGGGAGAGGGAGAAGCAGGGAGCTCTATATGAGATTTGACCCTAGACCCTTGGGATTATGACCTGAGCTAAAGGCAGATGCTTAACTGACCGAGCCACCTAGGCACTCCTTTTTGTAAATGTTTTTGAAAGAGGACCAAGGACTGTATTTTTTAACAGCCAACAACAACCACAACACAAAAGCCTGTGGAAACTTCTGTAACATTCACTTCTGTGGTTACTTATATATTTGGGGTGAAATAATCCTAAGAGCTGCTGGGCTTTTCAGTTATTTCTACTGACCCCAGCTACCTGGCTGCTCCTAATGCCCAAAATATATACATTCTCTTAGGGACATGGGGAGTAACACCACCTCCAAGATAAAATGTGATAAAACCTAGTTTCGCTATCATAAGCTTAGGTTTTCTAGTTGCTTTCTAATTATTCCATTTGGAAGTAATTTCTTGGCATAAAGGCAGTTTTAACCTTTGCAAGATATTAACACTTTTGCTTGTAAGTAACTTTTCTTACATTCCTTGCCTCCCCCAAGTCCTAAAGAGCTGCCTTTTTCCATAGTCTAGGAATCATTATCAATGTCATCTGTTTTTCCCTTGCTAGTCAGAATGGCTCAAGGACCAGCAGCATCAGAATTTCTTGGAGGCTTGTTAAAAATGCAGAATAATGGCCCCACCACCTTCAGATATATATATTGAATCCTAGTCTGCATTTCAGCAAGAGCTCCTGGTAATTCATGTGAACATTAAAGTATTGCTATGATCTACATTAAGAAGAAAAGAGGGGATCCCTGGGTGGCGCAGCGGTTTGGCGCCTGCCTTTGGCCCAGGGCGCGATCCTGGAGACCCGGGATCGAATCCCACATCGGGCTCCCGGTGCATGGAGCCTGCTTCTCCCTCTGCCTGTGTCTCTGCCTCTCTCTCTCTCTCTCTCTGTGACTATCATAAATAAATAAAAAATAAAAAAAATAAAAAAAAGAAGAAAAGAAATTTCCTATCATCCTTGTAATCTGAACTTAGAAGTATTTTTTTCAAGGTAGAGTAGACAAGCAGAAAGAAAAGAGTAATAATGGTCCTTTTCAAAAATCATGCCATTGACCTAGAAAAGGAGACTTGGTGGCCAGATCTATTTCTTTGTGGAAGGATATTTAAGTGCAGGAAAACTATTTTTGAATTTCTTCACTGGTCAGGTGTCCATTACAGTTGCAATGTGAAAATACAAAAGGGCTGTATATTACTCTTTAAAATCTTAACAGTGAAGGGGGAGAGAAGCAGACAAAGGGTGTGTACTCTAATGGATAAGAAGGGATCAGGTTCACAAATCACTTCTTAATGACATTTCAGAAATACATGGCTAATGTAAATAGTAGTAACGCTCTAATCATCTGCTACGTATTCATATCTGAAATTCCTAACAAATATGAGTATACATTATTTGATTTCAATATCATGTAGAATTACTGACCTCTAAAAATGCTTTTAAGATCAGAAAACTTCTTTCTACATATATCTTTCTTTAGTATTTTGCGATATATTTATTAAAAATAGACTGCTTTTAAAGCATAATTTTTAGGAGAACTTAATGTTTTATTCAAAACTAACATGCACTTTAAAGAATTTACCTTTAGTTCTTGAAGCTTATCCACATAAATTTGTTTAGGTTGGTCCTCTCCTTCTTCATAAAGCCAATTTTCTGTGTCTTCCAATATTGCAGACAGTTTATTCAAGTCCTAATTATACATTTAAGAGACACTGACTGAAAAATGCTCTCCTTAGAAATAAAAGTTATCAAAGGAATGTTTTTCAAGTATAAAAGAGTAAATTTCAGATTTTCTGGCTTTGTATTCATAAACATGTTTTTCACCATAGTTCTACAATTAAGAGAAATAACTAAGAACCATTCCTAAAATGGCTCAAGGAGATGGGCAACAGTAACACATTTGGTATGTTTATTTACATAATTTGTATTAACATTGTCAAACAAGATTTTTTCAGTCGTTTTTTCAATATTCAATGTTTTTCCAATATTTTCAATATTTCAAACAAGAGAGAGTGGACTGGGAGGGGGCAGAGGGGCAGAGTGGGGAGGGAGGGGCAGAGGGAGAGAGACAGAAGCAGACTCCCTGTTGAGCATGGAGCCCATGAGATCATGACCTGAGCCAAAATCAAGAGTCAGATGCTTAAGTGACTGAACCACCCAGGTGCCCCTCAAATAGTTCTAATAAAAAATTATAAAATTTAGACTTACTTCTTGAGTGATGAATTTTTCATAGACTGTGCCCAGCTTGTCTCTAAAATCATATACATATTCTTCAACAGCATTCTTAGCATCATTTCTTTCTTTCTCTAATTTATCTTGCATTATCATCTTCCCCTATTCAAAATGTTTAGATTAGTTGCTATTAAGACTATGCAGGAGAGTCATCAGGGAAATGCATATCAAAACCACAATGAGATATCACCTTATAACTGTAAGAATGGCTAGAATCAAGAAGACAAGAAATAACAAGTGTTGGTGAAGGTATGGAGAAAACCCCTCATGCAGTGTTGGTGGGAATGTAAATTGGTGCAGCCACTGTGGAAAACAGTATGGAGGTGGATCTAATAATTCCACTATTGGGTATTTTTCCAAAGAAAACAAAAATAATTAGATGTATTCACCCCCATGTTTATTGCAGCATGATTTACAATAGCCAAGAAACAGACACAATCCAAGTATCCACTGAGATGAATGGATAAAGAGGGTGTGGGCCCTGTGTGGGTAATGGAGTATTAGTCATTATAAAGGATGAAATCTTGCTAATTGCAACAGTATAATGGACCTATGCTAAGTGAAACAAGTTAGACAGAAACAAATACCATATGATTTCACTTATATGTGATCTAAAAAACAAAACAAATGAATAAACAAAGAGCAAAGATAGACCCATAAATAGAAGTGATGATTGCCAGAGGGGAGATGGGTGGGCGGATGGGCAAAATAGGTGAAAAGAAGTGGAGAAACTGGAGATACAGGCTTAAAGTTATGGAATGAATAAGTCATGGGGATAAAAGGTACAGCATAGGGAATACAGTCAATGGTATGATAACAGCGCATAGTGAGAGATGAGAGCCACACTTGTGAGCATACCATGATGTATATATAGACTGGTTTATCGCTATGTTGTGTATCTGAAACTAAAGTAACATCGTGTATCAACTAGACCTCAGTTAAAAAAAAATAATAATATGCATTAGGGAAGTGCAAACCCGAACCCCTTCATACCTACTACAATGACTATAATCAAAGACATGGATTATAAGAAATGGACAGTGTTAGTGAGGATGTGAAGAATTTTTAACCCTTGAAACATTGCTAATTGGGAATGTAAAATGCTACAGCTGTTATGTAAAACAATTTGTTGGTTCCTCAAAAAGCTACACAAAGAATTACAATATGACCGGCAATTTCACTTCTAGGTATATAATCAAAGGAACTCAAAACAGCTATTTGTATGCTGATGCTCACTAAAGCATTATTCACAATTGCCAAAAGGTAAAAACGAATGGTTAAATAAAATGTATATATCCAGTGCAATATTATTCTATTATAAAAAAGGTATAGAGTTCTGATACATGTTACAATACATATGAACTTTGAAAATATGATGCTAAGTGTACAAAACCAGACAGTAAAGGACAAATATTTTATGATTACATTCATATGATTTATCTAGAATAGACAAATCCACAGAGACAGAAAGTGACCAGAGTTTATTGGGGGGTGGGGAAAGGGAAGAATAGTAAGTTATTAATGATTAAAGACTCTCTGGGGTTATGAAAAAGTTTTGGAAATAGGCAGTGGTGACAATTGCACAAAATTGTGAATTTAATAATGCCGCTGAATTGTACACTTCAATGAAATAGTAAATTTCAGGTTATATACATTTTATTACAGTTTAAAACATTAGTAATGTGTAATATTACAAAGGCACTGAACTGTACACTTTAAATGGGTGAACTGTAGGTTATGTGAATTGTATCTCAATAAAGCTATTTTGAAAACCCCACATAGACCATGTCATTTTACATACCAGGATTCAATTCCCTGGCTCCCCATTTACTAGTTTTGAGATCACAGGAAGGTCACCGAACCTCTAAGCCTCAGTTTTCTTATCCTAAAACAGAATACAACTAGCTATCTCTTAGGGCTGTTAGTAAGATGGACATATTTCACATAAAATTTTAGTATTGTGGCTAGCACATAACTCATCCCGAATAAATATTAGCTCTGGGAGAAGATATAATATAGTGGTTGTGATCTTGAGCTTTGAAACAGACTACCCAGATCCAACTCAAAGGTACTCTCTGGTCATGGATGATTTAGTCCACCTGTTCCTGTTTCCTCATCTGTAAAACATAAACCTCTAACAGTACTTATACCTCACAGGTTTGTTTTGAGGATTAAATGAGACATCAAAGTCTCATGTAAAGAGGCTAGAAAATATGATTATTGTTATAATTAAAGCAAAGAAATAAAGAATCTGAGGATTGTAATACCCAAAATTTTCACTTTAACAGAAACATAATGTTTTAAACAGAAGACTACAGTGCACCGACATTTGGAATCTAAAATAGTGAGACATTTAAAACCTTAAGAAAGATTTTATACACAAAGTTTGCTATACAGCAGCACTTGTCTACAATTTATTTTGGCAAATTTGGGGAAATTAGTCTCAAAACAAATTCTGAATTACTCAGGTCTTCAGGAATGCTTGCTTTACCTAAAATGCAGCAATGCATTTTATTAGTTAATAAATAGACAAAAAACTGTAAAGTCAAAATCTCTTGAAGAATTCCAAGAATAATGCGCACACACACACACCGATGGGAGAATATGGGGACTTCAAAGAAAATTGACCTTCTTTAACGACAGCCAAGCCTGTAAAAATAACCACTGCTTAAATAAAACTTTTAAAAATAAAATTACTTTTTACACAACTGCTAGTCAAGCAACAAAACTCTTCCTCAAGAGACTGTAAAATTAAACACACAGACACGTAAAGAAAATTTCAAGAATGACAACAGATCTTAAGAAGTACTAAACGTAAGTCAGACAAACATTCTGAATAGAACCTTATCTTTAAGAACAACACATTAGATAGAAGAGGGGAGCTGTTAATACTTCACCTTAGACTGTGTTGGGTGTTAGTGTTAAAGTCAGAGTAACAAGGGGGTAAGAATCAATAGTATTAGAATGGTCTTTCTTTATAGTGGAGAAAACGCATGTTTTTTCACATAGCTCTGATAAAAGCTACACTGTACATGACATTAATATAGCTCAGTATTTTGTCCAAAATAAAGTAGTTCAATGATTTATTTAATAATTCCTTAAGTTATGGACTAGTTCCCAAAATTGGCAGCGGTGGGGGTGGGGGTGGTAGTGGTGAATAATCATTGACCTCTACAAAAATTTCAGAATACACTACCACTTATGTCAACATCACCTGAGATTTACATACCTCATTTTCAATGTAGCTGTTGAGAAGATCTTGGCCCAACTGTCTACACAGGCTGCTCTGAATAGGCAGATCAATACTCTTGACTTTTCCTTTTTTAATGGTCTGGTTTAATCGATCTTGTTTGTCTGAGGGAGCTGACTGCAGAGAGAAATGCAAGAGAAGTATAAATTTCTAAAGCCAGTTTGAAAATAGATTTAAGTGATTTCAGAAGAAACAAAAAAAGTAAAATCAAAACTATTACCATCTATTTTACTTAATACTATTTTAATACAGGTAATATTTTATACTCTGTGTACACTAAATCTTTTAATATAAAAACTACTGGGATGGAAATGCAAATTAAAGCCACAATGAGATGCCACTTCAAACCCATTAGGGACAACAATAACGAAAAAAAAAAGGAAAGTAACAAGAGTTGGTAAGGATACGGAGAAACTGGAACCCTCATAAATTGCTGACAAGATTATAAAATGTTGAAACAATCCTGGAAAACAGCTGGGCAGTTCCTGGGTGGTGAAGCGCTGTAAAAATTATTGTAATAATAGTTGCAAAACTCTGTATTAAAAACCATTGAATTGTACACTTAAAATTGGTGGACTATATGGTGTGTAAACTGTATTTCAAGCTGTTAAACAATTAAAGCCAAAAATATCAAATAAAATTAAAAATCCAGAAAAATAGGTTTCAATTTTTAAGTTATTGGAGAGCCTAGGATTTGAAACTGAATCTTTATAACCTCTGAAGAAAATCTGTACTTCTAACCAATATAGACTCAATTCTGTTCAGGTTAGAAAAACCTGTTGAAGATGGTATTTAGAGCAAGAGCCACATTCATCTAGGTCATTGGGTTGGGGTCTCTCCCTTTTATTGGCAAGGACTGTCTCAATAAAATAATGACTTTCAATGAAAGAGTTATCCTTTAAAGTTTTACTTTCAAAAATATTTTTGCACAAAGGAAAATATTTTATGATATGCAGCAAAATGCTTAGTTAATTTTGAGATGAAAGAAAAAAATTTACTGTCAATTTAAGTTTTCTTTACTTAGCTTATTCCATTTCCTATTTTTCTGGGATTACATTGTTTTTGATGAGACAAAAAATTACTGAAAAATGCATTTTTTTTCCTACCAAGGAGATAATTTTACTTATATTGTTAGGGTTCATTCTTTTTAAAAATCCTCTATAATTCCCTGAATTGTATTTATTCTGGTTATAGGCTTCTATACTTTTCCACATTACTAAGATTTAAAATATCAACTCTATTAAAAGTATGCAATACAAAGTAAATATATTACTCAAAACATCAATCTCTAAAAGACACAATCATAAAAATAGTAAAACACACCTTTGTTTTAGTTCCTGTATGATCGATTTCCTCTTCTGGGGTATGTTCAGCATGGCATTTTTGATGCCCTCCTTCTTCTTGGTCAACTTGCATTTTATCCTGGATAGAAAATACGTAATTGCAAATATTTGTAGAGTGTCTTCCTTTTTTTTTTTTTTAATAAGCAGCATCTTAGTGTTCAAAACTGCTTTGTAATATGTGAACATAGTACAGTAGAAGGTTTTCTTTTTTTCTTTTTTTTAAAAACTTTTTTTTTTAAAGATTTATTTATTTATGATAGTCACAGAGAGAGAGAGAGAGAGAGAGAGGCAGACACAGGCAGAGGGAGAAGCAGGCTCCATGCACCGGGAGCCCGACGTGGGACTCGATCCCGGGACTCCAGGATCGCGCCCTGGGCCAAAGGCAGGCACTAAACCGCTGAGCCACCCAGGGATCCCAGAAGGTTGTTTTTCAAATGAGAATACCAATAAACAGATTAAGGAAAAGAAAAAGATCTATTTGATGCTATGTGAATAAATGCTTTCATTCAGCTGTGGCCAAATAACTGCAAAAAAAAAAAAAAAAAAGGAAAACTGTTCTCAAGTTAAATTCAACAACCTAAATTCACAAGGATAAGCTTATGAAAAAAAAGAACATTAAATTTGACAAATGTTTATAAAGAACTTAATGTGGGAAAATAAGATACAAAATATGTGTATTACATAAATTCGGTATTTTTTAAATGTAGTAAAATACTCAGTACATCCAAACTTTCAAAGCAGATGTCTCTGTATTATTAAAATGTAAACTTCAAAGATTTTTTATGTCTACAGGACAAACTTTCAATCAATAAGACTGTTAAAATAGATTCTACTTGGTAAATAATCACAAGTAATAGATTTTCCTGGTCTTTCTTAACCTTATTTATGACCATCCTCCTAAAAAGAAGCAAGCTTGGAATTCAGCAATCAGTATAATTTAAATCTTCTAATATATTCAGATTATAATATATAAAATATAAACTACCTTGGAGGCTATCATGAATAGTACTTATTTGTGCCAAAGAGAAAAATAAGTTAGACAATAATTTACACCAGTGTTCTTTGTAGTTAAAGGGTCAATTATTTCCGGGATGCCTGGGTAGCTCAGTTGGGTAAGCAGCTGACTCTCGGTTTTGGCTCAGATCATGCTCTCAGGCTCCTGGGATGGAGTCCTGCGTTGGGCTCCACCCTCAGTGGGAGGTCTGCTGGAGGATTTTCTTTCTCCTTCTGCCCCTCTCCCTGCACGCTAATACATAAATAAATCTTTGAAAATATTTTTTTAAAAAAGTGTTTCTGATATTCCACTCCTCACCAACCTCCATAACCAACTTCCAAATGTACAATTTCCCCTACCTGATTGAAAAGAGGTGAAAAAAGTAATATAGTGGTGAGTTAGTGTAATGAAGAAGGCACACAATTCTATTTCATGTAAGACTAAGAAAAAAATGCTGCCAATTAAGTAGCCAAAATCAGTTAGCATTTTTAACTTTATACTTATTGAAAGAGCTCTTCTATTGTGTTTATATCTCTAAAGATAAACTTATAAAGTGGTTAAGGTATTTCTAAAACTTCACATTCATAATCCAACTATTTTAAATCAGTTAATGAAGTATTTTTCTACACAATATTGTCCGCTGTGCCATCAATAGCATTAGTTACCCAGCATTTGTTTAAAAATTGCTCTAGTATGGTCTCTAATTTTTTTAAATTTTTATTTATTTATGATAGTCACAGAGAGAGAGAGAGAGAGAGAGAGGCAGAGACACAGGCAGAGGGAGAAGCAGGCTCCATGCACCAGGAGCCTGATGTGGGATTCGATCCCAGGTCTCCAGGATCACCACCCAGGGACCCCCCTAATGTTTTCTGATAAGCCACTGATACCTATTCTTCAAGTGTTTTCTTTATCGTACTAAGGAGTCAGTAGATTGTTTTCAGACAACCATGACTCAAAGCCCTTCCATGAATGGTCTTTAATTTGTTGACAGAAATGTCAAGGTGCCATTGCCTAGTCATGCCACTGGGAATAGCAACCAAATTCACACATGTACAGGTGACGAGAACTGTATCATGATAATTGCCATCAGCAGCAGTGAGTAGAGGATATGATCATCTGCAAGACCGACCCTGATTTCAGATATATTAAAAGTGGAAAGCTATACAGCTTACAACTTATTTGAGAGTAACTTGAAATGACTTAAGAAGGTTCATACAAATATCCACAGTGGGGAAACTGAAGAAGTGCTTCTAGACTCTGGCTTCTCTAATAGATTTTAAATTCCATGAGGGTTGAGATTATTTTTTTGTTCCCTGCTATATCCAAATACACATTCTAGTGCTTATAGTTACTTGCTAAATAAAAAGCAATTAAGAATAAAATCCACAGGTGCCTGCGTGGTGCAGTTGGTTAAGTGTCTGACTCTTGGTTTCAGCTCATGTCATGATCTCAGGGTCATGAAACTGAGCCCCACAGTGGGCTCTGTGCTCAGTGTGCAATCTGCTTGATATTCTCTCCCGCACCCACCCTTCTAGGTCATGCTTTCTCTTTAAAATAGGTAAGTAGGGCAGCCCTGGTGGCCCGGTGGTTTAGTGCCGCCTTCAGCCTGGGGTGCGATCCTGGAGACCTGGGATCGAGCCCCACTTCAGGCTCCCTGCATGGAGCCTGTTTCTCCCTCTGCTTGTCTCTCTCTCTGTGTGTGTCTCTCATGAATAAATAAGATCTTTAAAAAAACCAAAAGAATAAAATCCAGAATCATTATCATGAGCTATATAAAGACTTTACTAGATTTGTCCCTTGACCTACCTTATTTTTTTTTGTGACACTCTCCCCACCTTCTCCACTCCTGTATCTCATACATCAGCTACCCTTGTATTTGTTTAAAAAAAGGTGGGGGGGGGCTTTTTGCCTCAGGGACTTTATACTTCTTATTCACTCTCCTCAGACAACTACAAACCCACTCCTTACCTTCAAACTGCTTTTTCTTTTTTAGATTTTATTTATTCATGAGAGACAGAGAGAGACAGAAAGAGAGGCAGAGACACAGGCAGAGGGAGAAGCAGGCCCCATGCAGGGAGCCCAATGCGGGACTTAATCCCAGGTCTCCAGGGTCATGCCCTGGGCTGAAGGCGGCACTAAACCGCTGAGCCACCTGGGCTGCCCCAAACTGCTTTTTCATCTTTCAGGCTGGCTTACCTGTTCCTTCCTCACAAGTGGCTTTCCTCATCACTATCACATAGTGTCCACTATGCATCCCCCCTCAATTTCCTGTATATTTATATAGTATCTTGTTGCTTCTAGCCTGTCCTTTCCCACTAGAATGTAAGTTACAGATAGATAGGGACCTTTTCTTCCTTGGCTATCACTATATCATACCCTCAGTGCCTAAAACAGTACCTGGTACATGTAATCGGATATTTTGAAAAAATAAAAAAATAAAAAGATAAACCACAAATAGTAAAATCCAAATATATTAGTATAATGAATAGCATATAGTCTTTCTGATCTCTGGTTTTGTGATAAAGCCTAAGCTGTGATAACTTCTTAGTATGACCATACATTAATATATATACCTAGAAGTATCAATTTAATTTTGAGATCTCCTTTAAAGAAAAATCAACATTCTGTTTTGATTTTTTTTCAGGAAAATCAAAGCTATCTTAATTTTTAATGAAAAAAAGAGGCTCATAAAATAATGTTTCATAAATCAACTCAGGTAAAAGACAAAAAAAAAGACTCCTGCTGCTTACTGGATTTATGTCAGAGCCAACAGTGTCAGGCAGGCAGGAAAGAGTAAAAAGAACTTACTACCACTTACCTCACCTTCTCCTCTAAAACTGAAAGCAGTTATCTTCCAAAGTCTGCTCTGATGTGGTTCTCATTTTTTGGGAGGAAGGGAGAAATGACTTATAATGGTACATAAGCCCTATGCTTTTAAACTTCTAGATACAGAATTCGGTAAACAAATTCCAGAGAGAGCCGTTAAGAAATAGAGCATACAGGATACTTTCTACATAGGATACTCAACCATCACCCCTTGTTAGCAATGATTTGGAAATAAACTACAATTTATTCAATACCTATTGTATCAACTATGGTAGGGATTTAAAAAGAAATAATATATTTGGAGTATGCTAGCCAAAAATGCCAAGGATATGATGCATGATGTTAACCTTTCTTTTTCCCTTAATTATATATGTTGGAGACGGAATATTTAGGAATATCTTACTTATCTAGAAAAAATACCTTATATGGGAACACCAACTAATTGTAATGTTCCTATAAGCCAAAACACTTATGGTAAGCAAATAAGGCTATGAATGGCCAAAAGCAGATGTCATAACCTCATACTCTTTATTCATAGATGAATCCCTCAAGTCCACAACCAGGTCATTCTCAAGGACACACTAAGTGAATTTCAAGCCCACAGACAAAATAAAAGCAGAAAATAAGAAGTGCTAGAGGTGGCAGAAAAATGGGTGCCATATTACTGTTTTTAGTGCTCAGGATTCAGTATATAGAGAAAACTAAAGGTCTCAACAGAGACTTTTAAGAAAAAGAGGTAAGAAAATTGAAATGGTTATGAAGAATTCATCCTAAAGGCATACACAGCACTCTCAATATTAGTAAAAATAAATCTTAACAGATTGAATTTACATGTCTGACAAATTATGAACAATTAAGAAAACCAACTTTTCAAAAAAAAACTTTTCACCTATTATTTTTCCATTAATTATAAAAAATTGACTATCTTTACTAACAGATTAGGACATTTCTTTTCTCAATTCAAGGAAGGATATAATAGCAAAATAGTACATGGGAAAATGGAAGGAAATGCCATGATCCTTAAATTAGGAGTACTTTAGAGAGAATTCTGATCAATGAAGATTTTAGAATAATTACTAATAAAAACAGACAAAAAAGAAAACTTCAAAAAAATGGAGAAATGGTCTTGAAATTTAACAAAAAATTTTTTTAAAGATTCATTCATCTTTGAGAGAGAGTGAGCACACAAGCAGGAAGAGCTGAGGGAGAGGGAGAGAATATTAAGCAGACTCCATGCTGAGCTTGATCTCACAGTCCTGAGAGCACAACCCAATCTGAAACCAAGAGCTGGATGCCCAACTGATTACCACCCAGACACCCCCAAAATCCATTCTTAATACACACAAATACACAAAAAAATCTAGGGTGGGTCTCCAATTATGATCAGAACAAAAAAAATCTAACATAGGCCATTAAAAACAACTTATAAATAGTACATATAAAAAGATGAAACCTTTGTGTAATGGAATATATCACGTTCTCCTATGATTCCCGCATCTATAGTATAGCAAGAATAAATATAGTGTAAGGGTCACGTAACTCCTTCCTAAAGAAATAAACTGTCAAAATTTTGTACTAATGTTACTGAGTGTACAGCACACTATTGTGTTCAAATACCAACCAGATATCCCCTAAGTCCAGATAGATTCTTTATTAAGGATGTACTTTATCAATCTAAGAAAAGGTATATGTACAGTTCAAAATGTATCAATCTGAACTCTTTAAAGCTAAAAAGCTAGAAAGCTAAAAAGCTAGCCATAATACAGTTTTTAATGGAAATAAAAAAGAATTCAGGAAGAGGAGTCTAAACACATGTTTCATATAAGGCTAATAAAGATACAAAGCGTCTAAAGAGTTTAAAATGTGAAAGAAGTCAGCATTTAAAATTATACTTTAAAAATCATTCTTTGATGTTTCATCAAAAAAGTTTATACTGATTCCTACAATAAAATCTCCTCAGATTTTTTTCAACTAATAAGGTATCAGTTATGATTAAGAAACAATGTACTCATTAGAGGTTTTCTACATACCACAATAGGTTTTTTTTTTTTTTAATTTTTATTTATGATAGTCACAGAGAGAGAGAGAGAGAGAGAGAGAGAGAGAGAGAGAGAGAGAGAGGCAGAGACATAGGCAGAGGGAGAAGCAGGCTCCATGCACCGGGAGCCTGATGTGGGATTCGATCCAGGGTCTCCAGGATCGCGCCCTGGGCCAAAGGCAGACGCCAAACCGCTGCGCCACCGAGGGATCCCACCACAATAGGTTTTCTACATACCACATCATCCTTGCCTTCATTCTTAAATGAAGTTTCTGTCTCCATAGGAGCATCACTGTGATCCCCTTCTACATTTTGCTTCTCAATTACTGCTGCACTGGCCACACTGAAGATTCCATGAATGTTAACACGAACTTTAACCTTCACTTTGGAACTATCACCATCAGACTGAGGCAAAACATTCTGAATAGTGAAGCTCCCTTAAGGAAAAAAGTGCTTTCATTAGTACATGGATTTCTGATTAACTTATTCAAATTCATTCATTCAATAATTTGATTATTATCTTTTAGATGAAGACAAATAATCATGAAACTATTACATCCAGATTACTGTGACCCTAGATCACTTTTTTTATGTTAATAAACCTAATATTAAGATTTAGACAGGTTAAGCAGCCTGCCCCAAATCATCAATACTAGGACAAAGGTAAGCTGGAATTTCAACAAAGCACAATTTGACTTAAGGCAATATAGCTTTTAAGTATTTTATAATATTGCTATTCTAAAACCAAAGTAACAAAATTCTACTTCTGAGTTTGAAAACAAAATGGACATTATCCTTTTGCTGTAAGTTTTGCAAATCATAATCATCTTGGTAATTCACAAATACAGCAACTTAAAAAAATTTCACCCTATAGCAAAATTGCAAAGTTATTCAGTCACTAATACCTACAGAGATCATATTCACTTTCACTTGAAGAAACTGTTTTATTTTCAGTATTTTTAAAAGATTTTTTAAAAAGATTAAAAATTTATTTTATTTATTTTTTCATTTATTTTATTTATTTATTTATTCATGAGACACACACACACACACACACAGAGGTAGAGACATAGGCAGAGAGAGAAGCAGGGTCCATGCAGGGAGCCCGAAGCAGGACTCAATCCTGGGACTCCAGGATTACGCCCTGGGCTGAAGGCAGATGCTCAAATAAGCCACCCAGGCGTCCCAAGATTTTATTTTTAAGTAATCTCTATACCCAACATGGGGTTTGAACTCAGAACCCTGAGTTTAAGAGTCACATACTCTTCCAACTGAGCCAATTGAGTGCCCCTCTATTTTATTTTAAAAATTCATAATATATAATGATATCCATAATAGAGAACACTAGGCAGAAAAACTGAGGAGTAAAAATTTGGTTGACCTTTATTATAGGTTGAATTGTGATCCTCACCCCCAAATTAATATGAAGTCCTATTCTCAAGTACCTCAGAAGGTGACCTTATTTGTTTGGTAGACAGTGTCTTAGCAGAAAAATTAAAATGAGGTCATCAGGGTGGGCTCTAATCCAATGGCTGGTGTCCTTATTTGTAGCCAGATACACATATAGGAAGAATGTCATGTGAACAGGAAGATGGCCATGTACCAACCAAGGAGAGAACCTAGAACAGATCTCTCCTCAAAGCTCTCAGAAGGAATCCTGTCAACACTTTGATTTCATACTTCTAGCTTCTAGAACGAGACAAATTCTGTTTAAGCCACTCAGTTTGTGGTTCTTTATTACGGAAGACCTGTCAAACTAATTACACCTTCCATAATTTTCTACTGCTTTAAGTAACGTATTTGAAACAGTCATATTGCTCCCTTTTTAGTCTATCAATAAAAGCAATACGTATAGAAAACTTAAGAATTGTAAATTATTCCTTCACTTTTAAATATAAAATCATACTTTGTTTTGTGTATCTAAAAAGATTATCCAGCTAAAACAGATATTACAGTCCCCAATGCGCACTTTTGTATTAATCCAATGATATGCATTCTGGTTGTTGCCAGGGAACCAAAGTTTAAAGTCAGAATATATAGTCAGTCTGGCAGCACAATTTCAACTTACTGATTAAGGATTTTTCCATAAAAAAACGACCCTCGCCCCCTTTCAGGCAAATTTCAGAGCATTTTCAATAGAGAAGTCAAAATGAATTAAAAATACTCAAACCTACTGCTATTCCAGGATAAACTCTGAGCACTAAAAAAGTGCATGTTTAGAAAAAAGTATGCGTATCTTTCAGTTTCAGTGTCAGCTTAGCTGAAATATCAATTTATTTATTTCCTTGATTCAAATACTGATATATTTACAAAAAGCAAAAGTTTCTGAGATTTTTTTTGTGTTCTCTTACCAATTCTTGGATCAGGATAAGGCACTTCATGTAAATTAGTATAAAATGCTTCTAGTTCAAATGGTTCCTTCTTGTGGAAAGTAATGACTTTTGAAAATGGGGCAGGATGGTTTTTACAGAATACTTCACATTCCCTAAAATGGAGTGGGAAACAGTTAAAAACAAATAGGAAGTTGTCTATGAATCTCATTATAGAATCCATGTCATTCCCAATTCAAAAGCAGCAATTTGAAGAGCTCTATCCACAAATGTAAAGAAAAAGAATTACTGGTTTTATTATGAACATGCAATTTGATAGGTTTACAGCTCAAAGTTTTTAGAATGTCTGTCATAGCAACAGATAATTCTATCCTACTAAAAAAAGGAAAAATAATCGGGATTAGGTATAAGGCCAATATAAAGGGATTAGTTTTTTGCTCACCTATGTGTATCAAATACTATCCATTAGTTTCCAAAATACTTGTCATATATAACCCTTTTTACTCTAGATCCTTTAAAAAAACCTTTATTTGGGAATAATTTCAAACTTATAGAAAGAAGCAAAAATAAAAATAGAATAAGGAACATCTGTATATCTTTTTTTTAATCCCTACATCTGTATATCTTAACTAGATTTACTGTCAGCATTTTATTCTATTTATTTCATCATTTAAGTGTACACACTCTGTGGATGTGTACATTTTTTTCTAAACCAGTGGAGGGTGTTACATACATTCTGGTCCTTTATGCCTAAGTACTTCAATGTGTATTTCCTAACAGGGATATTCTTTAATATAACCACAGTACTGTCAACTGTGTAAGTTTACACTGATACTTTAACATACAATCCACATTGTCCTTTTTTCAATTGATGTAATACTGTCCTTTATAGTATTTCCTCCTCTTCAGCACAGAAAGATTTAAAACCTACATAACGGGCAGCCACCAGGGCGCAGTGGTTTAGTGCCGCCTGCAGCCTGGGGTGTGATCCTGGAGACCCGGGATTGAGTCCCGCATCGGGCTTCCTGCATGGAGCCTGCTTCTGCTCTGCCTGTGTCTCTGCCTCTCTCTCGCTCTCTCTGAATGAATAAATAAGTCTTTTAAAAAATTAAAAAAAAAATAAAACCTACATAACAATTCCCATTCTTACTTAAATACTGTAACAGAAATGGCTTATAACTATTGTTTACAGTGGCCCAGAAACTCACTCTATAATACTATTACCATCACCCTATTCATTATGCAAGGTTTGAAAATCTCACATTCATGGACCTTCCCCTCTATCTTGTTTTTCAAGAACCTACAATATTTTTTACTTTCTTGTTGTAATCACTAGGATAGGTTTTTCAATTTAACCCCTCCTCTCAGTGTTTCTTATAATTTTTTTCTGGATCACTGTATCTCTAACTGAAATTGACTTTAATTATTTAAAAAGTTTATTTAAGTTAATCTCTACACCCAACATGGGGCTCAAACTCATAAGCCCAAAATCAAGGGTCTCATGCCCTTCTGAGCCAGTCAGGCACCCCTGAAAGAACAGCATTTCTTGCCTCAAAATTGACATTAATACATGCCACTTACATGCTCTGCAAAACATTCAGGTCAGATAATCTATATTTTTGGAATTTGTACGAAAATTTTAGTTTTTCAGGGGTGTGGATGTAAAAAGCAGAGAACAAAATTTTATTTTTTTAAAGATTTTATTTATTTATTCATGAGAGACAAAGGGAGAGAGAGGGGCAGAGACACAGGCAGAGGGAGAAGCAGGCTCCATGCAGGGAGCCAGACATGGGACTTGATTGTGGGTCTCCAGGATCACACCCTGGGCTGAAGGCGGCGCTAAACCTGAGCCACCCAGGCTGCCCAAGAACAAAATTTTAAAAGAAACTTCAAAACCTAAATATAGGTTTACCTTATTATACAAGTTATACTTCTAAAAAGTCATCAAATGTATTATTTGAAACAAATTTTTGGCAGGGAAGCAACAAGCTATTTAAATCTTTAGCAGTTATGTAAAAAGAATGTAAATGTCAATGAAAGCATGAAAAGATTGTAGCTTACAATAGTCAGAAATGCAAATCTAATAACAAAGTACTTATTTTCACTTTCAGAATGTTATCTCTAAAAGAATAGAAGAAAATGAGCTACAACAAATAAGCAATGTTAAAAGGAATATAAATGAGTAGAATCCTTTTAGTGAAAAATGTGGCAGTACTGGTTAAAATAATGATATCCTTTGGGTCAATTTCAGTTCTATACAGTTGTCTTACAGATATACCAAACACAACTAAACAAGGAGATGTGTAGGAGGACTTTCCTAATAGCACTGCTTGAATCAGAAAAATTGGGCTTTAGGGTGTATTGGTTAAATTAATTATGGCAAAAGTGCTGAGAAAAAAGTCACTGTTGACATGGAAAGTTAACATATAACATTTTAAAACGCAAGTTGCACTGGGGACACTCAGACAATTACATATGTACTTAAAAAGTGCATGCTTTTATTTTTGGATATTCAAAAAAATGGAGCAATATAAGCACAGTTGTTAACAATGGTTACCTTTGTAAAATGAGCTAAGTAGGAGGTGGGTATAGCAGATGCAGGTTTTTAAAGTTTTTATATTTCCATATTGTGATTTTTATTTGAAAATATTGATTTACCTTATAATAAAGTACTAGTTAAAAATATGCCACCATGGTTTAAAGATTATGTAGTATTTTATAGTTTCTTTTTTCTAATGTTTTACTTAAAAGTATTTGAGACTTTTAGAAGTGTAAATTCCTCTAAGTTCAGAAAGTAGGTTCAATTGGTTATTCACAATAAGCTCTAACCAAGGCTTCAAAAGTAACTTACCCAGTTCCATCTTCAAAAGAGGTCTTCCATCTTAATGTGATTGAATAGGGAACAAGGTCTGTTATAGAAAATTCACGCACTTTAAATGCTGGTGAGAGAATCGCACACTGAAAATAAGATGTATACCATATTTAAATCAACAAACGCAAAACATACTGGTTACCCTGACTGAACTGCTTATCAAAGTCTTGTAATAAAGTTACATTCTAAAATTACTGTCCTTTGGTAATAGCTAGTTTAAAGTGTCAAGAGTACTCTATGACCTTACAAAAATATATTTTTAAATCTCAAAAAATAATTTTAAGTGGAAATAATTATAAGAATCTATAAAGTAAATGTTCTTTCACTAAGCACAGACATATTGTCCCTATGACACTTTAAAAACAAATTAGAAAGACACAAGATTTATTTATCAGGAATAATTTCAATTTATTTTTAGCCTATTGACAACTGGTTGGAACAGAGAATATTAAAAGGTCACTTTAAGCCTATCACCACATTTCTGGCAAAGTATACACTGTTAAACAAAAAAAAAAGGATTATTAATCATACCTGTAATGCACATCCTCTTGCAACAGCTTCATCAGCATTTAATGTGGTACTTATGTCTTTAAGAAAGAATTTAGTGATTTGTTCTTTCACTGCAGGAATTCGTGTTGCTCCCCCTACAATTTCTATACTACTTATGTCTTCACGTTGCAAGTCTGGAAAGCAAGATGTTTGGGTTGTTTTTTTTTTAAAGATTTATTTATTTATTCAGAGAGAGAGAGAGAGATAGAGACAGGCAGAGACACAGGCAGAGGGAGAAGCAGGCTCCATGCAGAGAGCCCCACGTGGGACTCGATCCTGGGTCTCCAGGATCATGTCCTGGGCTGAAGGTGGCGCTAAACCGCTGAGCCCGCAAAATGTTTTTAATTGAGAAAAATTAGATAGTCTATAAAAATGTGAACAAAAGACTTTGGAAAGTACTTTTTCTTTTTTTAAAAAAGTTAATTTCCTTTTTGCTAAAACAACACTAAATAAAAAGAAGATAAAAACAAATTTTGGAAAAATGCAAAACTTAATATTAACTAGGTATCAGGCATTGCACTTAGTCCAGATGACAGAGTAACAATAAGAACAGACAAGTACCTCACGGACTCTTCAAAGTCCTTCAATTTTCTAACTTTCACCTCACAAATAACCAAGAAGTATTAATTGATTACCAAAAACCTTAACAAAAAGCGATCATGTCCCATTTCTACTTTATTTTCATCATAGACTTTATAGTATACTTATATGTAAACACTTCCGAATATAATATAGTTTTATGATGTAAACAATAACATGAGCCAGGAGCTGTTCTCATAAACCCAGATTCATAGTGCCCTTACTCTTATGAATGAAGTTATAATCTCCCTAAAATGAAAAATATTCAAAAGACATATGAAATTTTTGTTGCTTTTACCATTTCCTACCCCATTTAAGTGAGTTAACGTCATGACACAATTTTGATGGTTAGTCTAGTGATTACACTTACTAGCTTGTTCCATTACTGCTTTTAATGGTGGCTCGACCCTGGTGAATAGGGAAGCACACAATTGTTCAAATTGAGCTCTGTGGGAAAAATGAAGTAAAATTCATCATTTTGGGATGTAAAACTCAAATATATCTTCTAAAGTAACACAGTGAAAAAAAAATCAGACATGATCTAAATGTAAAATAAGCCAACACTTCTTAAACTGAAAACATACATGGTACCTGTTCATTTTACTAGAAACATCAAGGTCATTCATGAAACACTCAATGTTCAGTGGAAGATCTGATGCATTTGCGCTCATTAGCTTCTTCAGTTTTTCACATTCCTGATATAAACGCAACAAAGCCCGAGAATTTTCTTTCACATTTATCTTATATTTGGTCTTGAACTCCTCACAGAAGTAGTCTACTAAAGCCTCATCAAAGTTCCTGCCACCCAAATATGGATCAAAGGTGGTAGCCAAGACCTGTTTAAAAAAACAAAAACAAAACAAAACAAAAAAAACAGAAACAGAAAAGAACTTTCAGAAACACAAATGCTTTTGAAAAGACAAAACCAAAAAACACCTTTTTAAAATTAAAGTCAAAGGCAAAGAACTTGTCAGAAATCACTGGGGTGTCAAAACTTGCTGTGGGTTATACTAATTATCACTTATATTTAGCCAACATACTTAGCCACTCTGAGTTATCTGCTTTGGGTTACAGATCTATATATCATAATCATTCTATTTCTGAAATAACTGAGTTTCAATTAAAATTTCATTATCTTATATCCACTGGTTCTACAACAGCACTGAACAAGTAGACGAAAAACCAAGTTCAAGAGAGCAAAGAAACAGTCCTGAGCATGTAACCAAAACACAAGAGCCAAGAAAAGCCAATCCAAAGATGAAATCTAAATACTACAATTGGGGGATCCCTGGGTGGTGCAGCGGTTTGGCGCCTGCCTTTGGCCTAGGGCGCGGTCCTGGAGACCTGGGATCGAATCCCATATCGGGCTCCCGGTGCATGGAGCCTGCTTCTCCCTCTGCCTGTGTCTCTGCCTCTCTCTCTCTCTCTCTCTCTGTGACTATCATAAATAAATAAATTAAAAAAAAATTAAAAAATCATTTAAATACTACAATTGGTCAATTTACAGGTCAGGAATTAGGCCTTCTGACTACTATTTAAAAAAAATAAAAAGCAAGCTATTTTTATAAAAATACAGAATAAATAAAAGAATACATGAAAGACCACAAAATAAAGAATAAAGAGAAGAAGAATTTAACATAATAAACTTATTGGGCAATGAGCCCCAGCTAGTGGATAGATGGAAGAGGAGCAGGTAAGTCACAGAATTTCAACACTATAGTTCTTGAAAACACAAGAGCAAGATATCTAATCTCCCAGGATAGAGGGCACAAATGACTACTTACACTAGTCACTACTAAAAAAAAAAAAAAAAAAAAAAAAAAAAAAAAAAAGAACCCTACAGTTAGGGATGGTTCATCAGGTTTTTTTTTCACAAGGATGTGTGATGAAACAGTAAACCCTACAGAAGGTGGTAAATGTAATCTGATTGGGATGTTATCCCACAGACTAGTATGGGAAATCCATGGATCAACTTCTTGCTAGATCTAGGACTACCGAAAATTAAGTGCAAAATTGTGTTGGCATGTGACTATTGCAAAAATGTATCCTTCTGGACAGCAGGGCCACATATATGGCTACTCTAAGTATCTACTAAAAAGGAAGAAAGGAAAATGTTCTTAGTGTACAATACTAAATAGCAAAGATTAAACCAATTTACAGAAAACTACTCTATACTCATTATGAGTCATTTCCCTGGAGTTTTCTGATTACAAGCATGTTATTATAAACTGTGAGATAAAAGGCTCTAAAAGTTCCACTGGATAACCCAAAGTATTTCATCTTTTAAGCAAATTCTACAAGTAACTAATGGAGAAAGAGAGAGTACATATGTATGGATATATAAGATGATCAAAGTAAAAATGAATATAAAATCAAATACAAACTATTAAGACAAGCACACAGACATAAATAATGCCACATTGTAGAAAATTATGACAGGAACCCCTGGATAGCAAGGTCTATAAAAATAAAGGGAATCATTTTAGGAAATGTTTTCTAAGTATATTTATGGACAATAATGTACTTAATGCTCCCTGATAGGTGACCTAACACCTTGACAATAGCTAATACATATTACAGTATTATATGGCATTCCAATCATTTTATATTCATTAACCCATTTGTCCTAAAAAAAATTCTGAGGTAATTACTGATATTTTATCTTCAGGTGGGGAGCCCGAGATTTGAGGAGGTTATGTAACCTGCTCAAGGTTATAGCTTTTAAGTGGCAGAGCCAACATTTAAATCCAGGCACTAAAGTTTTTCTATATAGTCTTACATGCTCTTAACCATTAAACATCCATATAGCAAATAATTCACTTACTTTAAGTTTTCCTTTGTTAAAAGCACAAACTGAGACCTGGTAGGCAGAATGTCCCATATCAATAAATATTACATTTCTTGGTTTCTCATCTAATGGGGGAAGATCCTGTTTATAAATTCCATATGCTAGAGCAACTGTGTAAGAACAAAGAAATAACGTTAATATCAGGATAGCAGTCACCTGGAAAACAGAAAGTAAGTCATTTTGATACTGCACTATAATAAAGTAATATCAATTATTAGTTTCAAAGTAAATTAGCTTTTCATAATTTGGTTACTGTTTTTAATTTTATTTTTTCTCTACTCATCTAGAACTTAAATCTTATAGCAAATATAAGACATGTTTAATTTGTAGCAAAATACTATACTCCAAAACAAAAGGTTACAGGAGCCAGTACATAATGAAAAAAGATAAATGCTTTATATTAATTAAAAACTTTTCATAAAATACTTTATTTTATAAAAATTAAAAACTAGAGCAGTTCTTCTGACAGTGATTTTCAAACTGCAAAGTGCTCACCTGCAGTAGTTTCATTCATCAACCTTAAACAATTTAAACCTGCAACCTGTGCTGCAGCCATCACAGATCTTCTCTCAGCATCAGTGAAAAAGCTAGGAATCTGTTAATTTAAAACAGTAAGGAAATATATTGGTTTAATAGATTTTAAACATTTCATCAATTAAAAATGTAAAAAGCTACTCTAAAACTTATGTAGGGCAATATAACTACTCTAAAATTTACGCAAGGCAAAGAATGGTGTCCTAATTAAATAAGCAAGAAAAAAATTCTTCTTTGTTTTGGCAATTTCTATACCATAAAGTGTTGACCTAAGTATGAACACAAACTTAAAACAATTAAGAAGATGGAATAATATTGCAGGATTTCCAAAATATGTTCATCCAAATCCTTCTTTGTATTGGGTTTGCTCTATGAAAAAATGTTCACATTTAATAATGAAAAATGGAAACCCCAAGACTTAAAATGAGATTAAATATATCTTGGTAGGGATGCCTGGGTGGCTCAGCAGTTGAGAGTCTGCCTTTAGCTCAGGGTGTGATCCAGGTCCCTGGGATGGAGTCCCGCATCAGATTCCCTGCATGGAGCCTGCTTCTCCCTCTGCCTGTCTGTGTCTCTCATGAATAAATAAATAAATCTAAAAAAAAAAAAAAAGATATATAATGAATCCTTTGTAGTTGTTAGAAATAAACAGGCAGATCTGAACTATCATGAACAGTATATTGCATTATAAAAAAGGACATAGGGCAGCCCAGGTGGCTCAGCGGTTTAGCGCTGCCTTCAGTCCAGGGCCTGATCCTGGAGACCAGGAATCGAGTCCCATGTCGGGCTCCCTGCATGGAGCCTGCTTCTCCCTCTGCCTGTCTCTGTCTCTCATGAATAAGTAAATAAAATCTTAAAAAAAAAAAAAAAGAAAAAGAAAAAAGGACATAATGTAGCATGATTGTGTATGTAGAAGCTACCAAGGAGAATACTCAGAGGTTTATAATGGCTGTTATCTCAAAGGGAGGGGAGAACTATATATTGCAGGGGACTTATGAGGAGCATGTACTTTTCTTAAAATCACCAAAAACATTAACTGAGACTTCAACTTATAGTTAAGATTTACATATACTTAGTTCTGTCAAATTAAGAAACACTTTGATTTGTGTGTACAGATTTCTGAGAAGCTAATTCAGTAGGGACGCCTGGGTGGCTCAGTTGGTTAAGCATCTGACTTTGGCTCAGGTCATGATCTCAGAGTCCTGGGATGGAGCCCTGAATCGGGCTCCACACTCAGCAGGGAGTCTGCTTCTCCTGCTTCTCCCCTTGCTCTCTCTCTCTCTCTCTCTCTCTCTCAAATAAATAAAATCTTAAAAGAAGCTAATTAAGTATATTCATGTACAAAATGACTTGGGGCTCTTCCAATTTAGTTCTAAGACAACTTCCAAAGTTGTCTCCAATTGTATTACTTTTTAAAGCAAGAAATTTCATTTAACAGATATTAACAATTGGAGAAGAACTTGAATTTTGATATACTTGTTTATCCTTATTATCCTTCTGACAAAAATCTAAATTATAATATATATGTCATTTAATACTCATTGAGCACTTATGTACCAGGTACTTTTCTAACCACTTTAGGATATAATAGTGCATAAAACAGAGAAAATACTTCCCCTTGTAAATAGGTCACAACGGGTCTACTGCACTAACTACAAAGTAAATAATGGCAGAGAAGTTCCTAATGCTCTCTTTCTGACACTAATTTCTGATGTGAATGTACCATCAAGTATAGTTAATAGGGATGGATTTGAATTTAACATGGGTTTTAAAACTCACCCCACTTTGATGTACACTTTCAAGTGGCAGTATAGTGGAAGAGTTGTAAGTAGGGGTTTGGGAATGAACTATTGGGTTTGATTTCTGGCTTACCACTTATTAGCTCTGTTGATTTTAGCAATTTATTTAACTTCCTTTTGTCGTTTTGTAATCTACAAAACTGGAATTAAAAATATCCTACCTTTATGGGGTGGTTCCGAGGATTAAATGAGTTATACATATTAAATGCCAGTAACAGTGTCTGGCCAATTATAAACTCTTTTATTAAATGATTAGAAAACATGGGCAGCCCTGGTGGCGCAGCGGTTTGGCGCCGCCTGCAGCCTGGGGTGTGATCCTGGAGACCCAGGATCAAGTCCCACATCGGGCTCCCTGCATGGAGCCTGCTTCTCCCTCTCCCTGTGTCTCTGCCTCTCTCTCTTTGTGTCTATGAATAAATAAATAAAATCTTAAAAAAAATGATTAGAAAACAAAATATTAAAGTTCTCTTATTTTCTCTCATTTAAAAAATTCTAAATATCTATAAAATACTCATTACTAAAGTCACTGAAGAGTTCATAATCTGATTCTATTTTTCTGATGACACAAGACCTTTTTTTAAGACTTGAATTTAGGGAAGTTTAATAGTGTTAGAAATATATTCACATTTAGGTGACAACATATAACTTAAAAAAGTTATCAATATATAATGAGATCTCAAAGGATAGAGTAAATGATGAACTGTTTTAAGAATTTTTTTTAAGGGGATCCCTGGGTGGCTCAGCGGTTTAGTGCCTGCCTTTGGCCCAGGGCGTGATCCTGAGGACCTGGGATCGAGTTCTGCATCAGGCTCCCTGCATGGAGCCTGCTTCTCCCTCTGCCTGTGTCTCTGCCTCTCTCTATGTCCATCATGAATAAATAAAAAATCTTAAAAAAAAGAATTTTTTAAAAGAATTTATTTATTTATGAGAGACAGAGAGAGAGAGAGAGAGAAAGACAGAGAGAGAGAGAGAGGCAGGCGCAGAGACCCAGGCAGAGGGAGAAGTAGGCTCCATGCAAGGAGCCTTATGTGGGACTCGATCCCAGATCCCAGGATCACACCCTGAGCCAAAGGCAAGATGCTCAACCAGCCTCTGAGCATCTGCCTGAGCCACCCAGGCGTCCTTGTTTTACAAATCCTTAAAGAAAGATATTTTCTTTCTGAAAAATACTGCATGATCTTAATTATATGTGGAATCTACAAAAGTTGAATTCATAGAAGCGGAGTAGAGTGGTGGTTACCAGGAGCAAGGAAATGGGAAACATTGGCCAAAAACTACAAAGTTTCAGTTATGTAGGATGAATAAATTCTAGAAGTCTAATGTATAGCATATAGTGTCTAAACTTAGTAATACTATATTATATACTGAAATTTGCTAAGAAAGTAGATCTCAGATGTTCTTGCCACCAAAAAAAAAAAAACAGTACATGACAAGATGTTAATTAGCTTAACTGCTGTAATCATTTCACTATGTATATGTATGTCAGAACATCATGCTCCATACCTTATATGTAAACAATTTTTTTTAAAGAAAGCACAATGGGATTCTGGAGAGTGATAAATATGTTTATAAACATATTTATCAATAGTGATTGATGATGGTTATGTCAAAATTTCTGAAAGTATAACATGCTAAATATATCCACGTTTTCATTTTAAAAAGGATTTTTTTCTTTCTGATACAGAATATACATAATCTCAAATTCCCAAATGGGAATTTTCAGCTTTGTTATAAAATGTTAAAGTCCCTACAAATAGGAAGTTAAGGGCAACCAGGAAAGATTCTTATGGATAACTGGCAGGCATAGCAGTCACTACTCATATTCATTTTTTTTTTTTTTTAAGATTCACAGATTATCACAACTGACAATGGGAAACTAATTCAATCCTAAACTTTACCAAATAAAGTTGTTTTTTTTTTAAACCTAAAAATAAAAATGGGTTTACATTATTTACTTAAATAAGAACAGAAAGAATAAACGAAAGGGAAGAAAAATATTTAACAGATCACTGATATATTGGAAATTGTGATTTAAAAGTATAAATTATTGGGACACCTGGGTGGCTCAGTTTGTTAAGCATCTGCCTTTGGCTCAGGTCATGATCCCAGGGTCCTGGGATGGATCCCCACACTGGGCTCCCTGCTTAGCGGGAGCATGCTTTTCCTTCTCCGTCATTCCCCCTACTTGTGCTCTCTGGCTCTGTCAAATAAAGTCTTGAAAAAAAAATAAGTATTCATTATTGAAGTAAAACTTACTGAAATCACACAGTCGGCCACTGGTTTCTTCAAAGCATTTTCTGAAGTCTCTTTAAGTTTGGCCAACAGCATTCCAGTAACTTGCTCAATTGCAAAAGGTCTCTCTTCTTCTAGGTACCGCACCTAAAACCAAAAGTTCAGATATTTATTAAGAGTCATTTATTCGTCCAACATGTATTTTGTATTTACTCTAAACATGACAGACAACAGTGAAAAAGACTGTATTTTCTTAAGACAGTTACATTCTGAAAAGATTATTCTAGTATTATACCCTCTCATTTCTAAAGTTCAAGTGCCTTACACATAGTAATGTAACCAAATTGTTCTCAAAAAGATCTTCTTGCATTAGATCTCTGCCTTTCACAAAAGCAATTTTTATCATTCACTTTCCAAGCACATAACAAAGGAGAAAAAGGTCAATTAATCTTTTGAAAGTTAGAACTTTTCTGGGTTTGACATGAAAGCTTTAGTCACACAGTTTTAGGAAAAGCAAATGAGAACATCAGGAAAGAAAAAAAATTTCTTAGGGCAGCCCTGGTGGCGCAGTGGTTTAGCACCGCCTGCAGCCCAGGGTATGATCCTGGAGACCCGGGATCAAGTCCTACATCAGGCTCCCTGCTTCTCCCTCTGTCTGTGTCTCTGCCTCTCTCTCTCTGTGTCTCTATGAATAAATAAAATCTTAAAAAAAATTATTATTAAAGAAAATACGTATAGTATGTATTATTCCAAGGTCTCTGGGAGATAATCATAAATTAAATATTAGAGATGTATTTATAAAATTTCAAAATTATTTTTAGACCAAATAACTACTTTATTTTAAAGTCAGGTTTAAGAGTAGGTTGCATTTAAGCACATAAAAGGGAACTTTACAATGCTTCTTGACGAAGGAATACTGGAAGATGTGTAGTTTAAGTAATCAAAACTCTTTTATAACAACCAATACACTTGTGAGCAATACAGTTACCCTGGAACCCATATAATAACTATATTTAGTTTACTGAGGAAAAAATTATGTCTTCTGTGTCCTCAGTGGACAAAATTTTATTCTATAACACTAAATTTTGGAAGAGCTTCTCTCAAGCAGCACAATGTACGTGTGTACAAGTGTATATATGTGGCCATGTTTACCTGTATAAAGTACATATCAGTACCTCACTCCACTTTATAGCTAAACAGTATTCCATTGTACAGTACCACATTTTAATTATCCATTCATCAGCTGATGAACACTTGCATTGCTCCTACTTTTTGGCTATTATGAACAATCATGTACAAGTTTTTGTGTGTACATATCATTCAATTCTCTGGTGTATATAACTAAGAGTCAATCTTCTGGGTCATATGGTAACTATGTGTTTTGAGGTATTCTGTCAGTTTCTGAGAAATCAACAAACCTGTTTTTGTTAACCAATCCATAACTTACTGTCTCAGGATACAGAACTAAAAAATCAAGAATCCATCTCTCACTTGGAAGAAGAGTTTGCTTTAATATAGCAATTAATATATTTATGGGGTCTATTTTTCTAAATCACTTATGCCTCTGCCTTTATCACTTGAATATAGTTCACCTCTACAAGTTCTCCAAAAAATCATTTTTCCTTGACAATAAAAGTATTGGTTAGATTTTAAAAATTACCTAACCAGAATTTTTTTTTAAGATTTTATTTATTTATTCTTGACAGACAGAGAGAAAGAGACACAGGCAGAGGGAGAAGTAGGCTCCATGCAAGGAGCCCGATGCAGGACTCGATCCCGGGACTGCGGGATCTTGCTCCGAGCCAAAGGCAGACACTCAACCCCTGAGCCACCCAGGCGTCCCTAACTAGAATTTTTTTTTGCACTCACTAAAGCTTACTACAAAAAACAAATCTTGGTACAGATGTACTGTGTCCAGAGGAAAAAAGTTAAATTACAAATAGGCAATATTAGATTTGGTTTTTTGAATTTAAATGTTTGTACCCTGGGAAGCTTACCTTAACTCCTGCACTTCCATTTGGCATCTTCTGCAGTTCATAAGGAAGCCTGATCCTTTCAGTTTGCACAATAGGATCATCAAATGATCTCCCGTGAAGCTTTTTGAAGCCATGAATTGTATTTCTTACATTCGTGACTATCTGTTGGCAATCAACACTTTTATTTATCAATACTTAATGAATGCAAAATAAACACTACATAATATTTTAATAAGACCACCAAATCTCTTTATCCTACACATTTAAGTTTAGAATTACAATCATTTGTCTAGTTTCCAGCTGATAGTAAAATTATACAATATGAATGCATGCATCTTATCTATTGCCCGTCAAATTCTCTTCCTATTCTAGGAATGTAGAATCAAAATTATTGTTTTCAAAAAACAAAGAACAAAAGTGTAAAACTTTTCAAATACAGTGAAAAATCTATCTACAACTCATCTCTGGTTTTCCTTAACACTTTTGCTCTAATGAATTAATACATTTGATTTCTCTTCCTTCCACTTTAATTACTCTATTTATATTACAACACTCTTCCTTATTGCCCCCCTTTTCTTTTTTTCCTCTTAATATCTAGTTCTTTGTGAAATTTCTCATGTACTGAGAATGAAATTTCTCACTGTGGAGAATTGATCCTAGACTAGTAAATTTAAACTATTTCTGTATAGCATAATGCAAAGTTCAGGTGTCTAAATTTGCAGATGGCTTGTATTTTAAGCAAAGTAATTTTTTCTTTAACTAGAACATGAAGTTCAAATGATAGGGTATTACTGGGATCCAGGTGTTGCCCTCTTATAGTTAAAGCCAAATCTTGCTCTTCAATTATGAGATGAAAGCTATGGGGATGCTGAATTACCACACTGATCTCTTTAGGAGGAGTAACTTTAGTTTGCTTTCTTCAGAAATTCTGTTATCTATAATACACTTAGAAGATCACACATAATAAGAGATGTAAACTTTAGTGAAGAAGTCATTTTGGCACAAACTCAACATCTGTTTATGAAAGTGGAAGAGAAGATAAATGTTTTCATATACAGGCCAATTAGAAGACAACCTTGATAAAAGTCTTAAGCAAAAATGCCTTGATAAATGAGTCAATTATTCCTACAAAGTCATGAGGAAAAAAAGCCCAATTAAACAAAACTATTTTATGAGGAAAAGACAAACCAGGTACACGTTAAAATGTAAGAAGTAATTGTTAAAGGCTTTTGGTTCAGGAAAATAAAGTCCAAGGAAAATGAACCTCTAACAAGGAATGTTAAATGTAAATGTTCTACTTCTAAGCACCTTGGAAGCCTAGAAATATGAACAGAAATATGAATACTTAAAGAGATTCCATGTAAAGTAGCCATACTGGGTTACTCTGGAAATTAATTTTCCATCTTTCCCACCTTCTTTTACAAAGACATTGCTTACTTGTTGAAGTGTATATTCTAGATCAGATACCTCATAGAAAAGTGACCATATAGGGGAAAAGTGGTGCCATATGGTAGCAATACCCTAACTTCACAATGAAAAAGACTTTTTAAAAAAATAAAATTTAAGAAATATTTTGCAACCCCTCAATGAAAATACTATCTATTAAAACACAAAGATACTCAGGTCTGTACATTTCCCTTTTTTCTCTTAACTATGTAAAGTGGGAGCTTAGTTACCAAGATTCCATTAAATCTTCCTGTAAGTCAAAACATCTACATTAACAATTTACCTGGCTCTTAGCTGCATTTCCAATGGCTCGAGTTCTTGATCCCAAAGATATACAGGCTCTAAATAGGAGAAAAACACAAAGTTTGTTCCCATGGTATGTTTATATTAATATGAAAAAAATGAGTTAAGTGTATTAATATAATCATGTAGTCTAAAAAACTGATTAACACCAGAATTTTGCATATTTTTGTTTCATAAGTAATAGAACAGTTAGAATTTTTAGAATAAATATTGCTAAGAGCTGGTAATGTTCTGTTGGCCTCCAAAATTGTTTTTCAAATTCTGTTCGTCTAGATCCTACTAAAAAAATTAATCAAAAAAAATTAACTGTGTTCAGTAAGACCAGTCTGCATGGATCTAAATCCAGGCTCTGTAATCTTGTAGAAATTACCTAACCATTATTTGTTTCAGTTTCCTATCTGGAAGACAGTGATGATAATACCTACTCACAGGTTTAAATGAGTGAATATTAAGTAAATGCTTTGAACACTATGATTGCTATTTTTTATTACTGTATTTAGATATAATTCTGCTTATAAAAGATAAGTGTGGAGCAACATTTTCATTCAAATATCATTTCATGTTATAATTCAAGAAAGTGCTTCCTCAACCAATAACTACCAATAACTATTTACAAACTCTGTGTGTATACTAGCTATAATCACTGTTGTTGGAAAATCTACAGTCTACTGAAAAAACAAACAAACAACATACAGGACTATGAACATATGGACTGTGGATACTAGTGAAAAAGAATAATCACTTTAATATGATAAGGCTTTAAGTGTAAGAGGTGATTTCTGAATTAAGATCTGAAAGAAGAGAAGAAATTTTAATACACATCTATTTGTTGGAAAGGATAGTCCTGGTATGTAGGTATACATCTATTTTCAATATGTTAACCAGAGTGATCCTCTTGAAGACTAGGGTCATGAAATTCCCCTACTGAAAGCCCTCTAATGGTGTCTTGTCTCACAAAAAAAAAAAAAAAAAAAACTTAAGTCTCTCCAATAGCCAATAAAATCCTTCCTGGTCTGGTCCTTGGCTGCTCTACCCTGTAACTTCCATCTAGGCACACTGATGTCCTTGCTATTTCAAGAATAAGGCAAGCACGCTTCTTCCTAAGGGCTTCTGTATATACTATTCTCTATCTCTGAAACACTTCTAAATATATCCACATGGCTTACACTCACTTTCACTTCTTTCATGTCTCTGTTCAAACGTCAGCTTATCATCAACACCTTTTCTATCTTAAACAACATTTTCTGCTCCTCCCAACATATACATCTCCTACTACTTACACCTAATTTTATTTTCCTGCATAATGCATCACCATCTGATACAATTTACTGACTGTATCTCCACACCAGAGCATGAATTCCTATGAGGGCAGAAATGTGTACTCTATTCCCTTCCATCTGCACTATCCAATATGGTGGCCACTAGCCACATGTGGCCAGTAAAATTTAACCAAAATAAAGAATTGAGTTCCTCAGCATTATTCAGATTTCAAGGGCTTAATAGCCGTATGTAGCCAGTTGGTATACAGAGAACAGAATATACATAGAACAGAAGAGATATACAGAATGGAAAGTTCTTTTGGGCAGTATTGGTCTAGATCATTATCTGGTAATACAGCAAAGGTACCTATTGAATGAAAAGAAAGATGGCTCCTAAGGATAAGGCTGATTTGGAGAGTAGGAGGAATAGAACTTGGCTAGTTTCATTTGACATTTTGATAGTATAAGGATCAGATTATACAGGGCCTCAAATGACAGGTTATAAATCTAAATTTATTTCAGTAAGTAAAGGGAACTCATTAAAGGCTTTTGGATAAAGAAGAGAACATTCCATGCTTATATAGAAGATGAACTGAAGAGGAAAGATCCCAGAACGCCTTTTCTTTCTTTCTTTCTTTTTTTTTTTTAAAGATTTTTATTATTTATTTATTCAAGAGAGACAGAGAGAGAGAGAGAGAGAGAGAGAGAGAGAGAGAGGCAGAGACACAAGCAGAGGGAGAAGCAGGCTCCTCGCAGGGATTCCAGGATCACACCCTGGGCCAAAAGCAGGCGCTCAACCACTGAGCCACCCAGGTGTCCTGCCTTTTCTTTTTAATAGACTTCATACCCAGCATGGAGCCTAACTTGGGGCTTGAACTCAAAACCTGGAGATCAAAACCTGAGCTAAAATTTATCATCAGACACTTAACTGACTGAACCACCCAGGCATCCCTCAAAACAGTGTTTTTTAAGGGATGAACAAGACACTGTCATATTGGGGACCACTGTATTTGCAAGGAATTAAATTCATTTAGTTAATTTAACAGATTTTGATTGAATAATAATTATATCCGGCATGCTGTTACTAGAGGTATAGTGAGGGGAAAAAGATATGGTTTGGGCTTTCTTGGAATTTACAGTGCTATAGGCTCACACAAATGAAAAGTAAACTAGGTGCTACAGTAGAGGGTTTACATGGTGTTATAATATGGAGTAGATAATAGAACTGACCTACAGGAGGATGATCAGGAAAAACCTACTGGAGGAAGTGATGAGATTTTAAGGAAGAGTAAATGATGATGACAATGGCATTAAAGGATATTTGGCAGAGATCATTTTAACCAGTGTGAACTGATAGGACTAAGGCTAGAAGTCATCAGTAATCTATATCAGGATGATAGCTGAGACAGGTGAAGGAATTAAGAGATATTTAGAAATAAAACTCAAAGGACTCAGTGACAGATTAGATCTTCACTGTCCAATATAGTAGCCACTAGCCACACGTGATGATTAAGCATATAGAATGTGGCTAGTATGAACTGAGATGTATTCATTTTAAGTGTGAAACATACCCCAGATTTTTAAGATTTGTGTGTGTGTGAGAGAGACAGACAGAGAGAGAGAGAGAGAGAGGCAGAGACACAGGCAGAGGGAGAAGCAGGCTCCATGCAGAGAGCCCAATGTGGGACTCAATCCGGGGACTCCAGGATCATGCCCTGGGCTGAAGGCAGGTGCTAAACCACTGAGCCACCCAGGGATCCCTGGATTTTGAAGATTTAACATTTAAAAAGGAATATAAAATAGCTTACTGATTTTAAAATAAATAAGATTTTGGATAGGTTGACTTAAATCAAATACATTAAAATTAATCTCACCTGTTTCTTATCTTTTTAACATAACTACTAGAACATTTATGCATGTTGCTAACATATTTTTCCCAAAGAGTGCTGGAATAGACAAGAGGAAGAGGCAAGTGCCATGACTAATGTCTAGGCTTTCAATTTGCATAAAAGGGTAAAGTGGTGTTATTTATTGAGACATAGAACACTGTAAGACAGGTTTGAGGATGGACCATCACAGTGCTAATCAGGACATGTTGAGACTGAGGTACGTTTGAGACATCCAAGCAGATTATCTCTTCCAAATAACTCCCTGATTCATTATACTCCCTGCCAGAGTAGATATTTGCATACCTAATATGGTTATCAATGTAGATGGTCGGCATTCCAACCTAAAGTTCATCAGAGAAAATATGGATTTGCTATCTCTTAGCCTACACTTTATTAAAACCTGTCCTTCTCTCAACTCCATTACTTGTGCACACTTATGAATACTTTTAATTTTTTAGTACTAGGCTACCATCACTTGAGTACATAGAAAATCTTATTCTTAGGTTGATTCTCAAGAAGTTAGCTTTTGTTAGAACATTAGAGCCAAATAATATTGATTCATCTATCCTTAAGTGCTAGATTCTTTGTAACATGCTGAACAATTGTATCATTTCACAGAGAAAGCTTAACAGTTATCTATCTTTATTAGATATTCTCTGAAGTTAAAAGTCGACAACTCAAACAATTTAGTGTTATAGCTTGGAAATACCCAATTACAATACACAGGAAACCTTCCTCATATAGCTAAATGGCTTCAAACTCCTTCCTTTAATATTCTTTCAAAAAGATTCTGGAATCCAACTATTAAATAATTACTTTCTAAGTACCTTCAGAATAATCAAAATACCTAAGCATCTCTCAAAACTTTTACCTGACTTTGCTAACACCAAGGGAAATAAACACATTATACTGTACTTTTAGGCTGACATAAAAGTTTTTATAAAAAGGATATTCAATAGTTGACCCAAATGTACACTGCATAATCCATTTGTCTTATACTTTCCATACTTTATTTCAAATAATATTTAGAAATTCCATTTTATACCTAAAAACAAAAGAAAGGTTTTACAATGCAGTTTAAATCTGTAATTTCCAATCTGATATTGCTGCCACAGTGGTAATCCCAGATTGTCAGAGAATGCCACAAAAATTCTAAACAAACAAAACTTCTAAATGTCCTATGTCACTGTCGGTAGAAGAAGGGTATAAAAATCAAACGACAGGTATTAGCTTTAGAAAGCTATATTCTGGGGCACCTGGGTGACTCAGTCGGTTAAGCATCTGATTCCTGATTTTGGCTCAGGTCATGATCTCAGTCCTCCATGTTGTACTCCGCCCTCAGTGGGGAGTCCACTTAAGATTCTCACTTGCCCCTACCTCTTGCTGTATGCACACACTCTTTCTCAAATAAATAAATTTAAAAAAAAAAACCCTGGATTTGTATTTTCCCTTAAAACTTATTTTCAAAAAAAAATTTTTTTTTTTTTTGTAAGACAAGCACTATCGGGTTGGAGAAAACACTATTGCCAAAACTACGAGATTTCTCACCTAACAGGTCAGTACTCTTTAAATCTGTTCACTTCTTTGTCAGTCTCCACTAAGGATTCAAAGCCTCTTGATTTTACCACTTTCATTTTAAAAATAACCCTATTTAAAAACTTTTCAGCTTTCCCTTTCCAGTTTCCATAAGATCACAATTACTATTTATAACCTCTTGTGTTATCAAGTCAATACTAATTATAGCTGAATTAATGATGATATGAGAGGGCAATCAACTGGTTTAAATCAGGGGGTGAACGATGCCAGGAGCACTCCCCCCACTCCTTATCCCCAGAGTGACAACCAAAAATGTATCTTTAGATATTGTCACATGTGCCCTAAGGGGCAAAA